TCGTTGATATAAGTTGTTGGATTTAAATGCAAACATCAGTACTCCATGGCTTTGCGTCAGAAACACTTTGTGGATTACTTTAAATGGATATATGGTTTACATCCCAAGTGTCCTTAGGCCTAATCTCTTTTTGCTGCACTCTAACCTTTAGCAAATGTTTTAAGAGTATTACAAAGGGATTTTCTTAATTATTGACTTTTAGGTCAGTGAAGAGAGAGTTTCTAGCCATGTTGTTGTTTTTGTTTTTCTCTTCAGGAGGATTACGATCAGGTGTCTTTGGAGGACCAGCAGTATCCAGGGGACGGCAGTATGTTAAGCCCCAAAGCCAAGCTGCTGTTACGGGATTCAAAGAAGGAGCTTTTGAGGTAGGCTATGAAGGGTTAAATGCTGAAACATCTTGCAGCATCTTTATTCAGTCAGACATCTGTAAGCTGATCCTCCCTTTTAGTCGGCAGATGGTCAGTATTAATGATTTTTTATTTTTTTCAAAGTGTAACTCCGAACCCAAGAGCAGATTGATTTAAGTGGGTCAAATGAAACTCCCTGTGTCACATTTGACTGTAACTGATATGTCTGCAGGTTCATGTGGAGAAGAATTGTGTCTGTTTAAAAGTGAGTTTTCTCCCTGTAAAAGCTTCGCACAACTCTTGACTCTTGTAGTTAGAGTGCATGCTCTACTCTACTGGGTCTTCCCACCAGAAAAGTAGGACCCTTTAGTTTTTGCACAGCACAGCTTCCCCTGAGATCTCCTGAACGACGCTCAGAGACATTACCACACTGAATCCTAAGCACTGTGATCACAAACACTTACTAAACTTCTCGCTCTACTAACTCTTGTTTCTTTTTAACGTCAATGAGAGGGCTCTCAGTGTCAAATAAAAGATTTCAGTCGCAGCTTGGCAAAGTCTGTGGGAAGTGGAGTAATCTGTGTATTAAATGCTTTGTGTTCCCTGTGCAGCTGTCCGACCCCAGGCTGTGATGGCAGTGGCCATGTGACAGGGAATTATGCATCACATCGGAGGTAGCGCAATTAATTACAGTCTCATTACCAGCAGCTCAAAGTTATGCAGCCAAGGCAAACAGTGCTTATTGTTTAAACTTGTCACAAACTGCAGGTTTCACAGTTCATAATATTAAGTGACAGTTTGATGAAAAGGTTTTGTTTTCTCAAGGAGGAAGATGTGTTTTTAAATAATATTGTATTATTTATGCATTGTGATGATTTAATCCAACAGTGATCAAAGCATGAATTAAAGTGACTCTTAGCTCTTTATCCTCTCCAGTGTGTCTGGATGTCCCCTGGCTGACAAAACTCTCAAATCACTGATGGCAGCCAACTCTCAGGAACTAAAGTATGTGCTTTGAAAAATTGGTATTTTTTGTTTCTTAAAGCCTTTTTCACATACAACTAGGCAGCTTGTTCTTGCTTCCATTGAATTTGCCTCTGCTTTCCCCCATATCAGATCTGTTTATCCTTTTCATTCCCATTACACACTATGCAAGATTTCCATGTCCTCAACATGAACTCGTTTAGCTATTTGTGCTGCTTTCCTGCATATTACCATTGATCCACTTTATGCTGTAAAAAGCACCTGGTGTCTGTGTCTCTCAACCTGCAGGTGCCCAACACCTGGCTGTGATGGATCTGGACATGTGACTGGGAACTATGCTTCGCACAGAAGGTAGAGAGAGAGAGAGAAAGATGGGGGGAAAAAAGGCACCATCACCACAGAGCATGAAATATATTTGTTAGAATTGTGGCATTCAAGCAGATGGTGAAAGTCTCACTTTAAACAGCAAACATGCTGCACTTTTTGAATTCTTGTTTTTTAAATCTATCTATCTATCTATCTATCTATCTATCTATCTATCTATCTATCTATCTATCTATCTATCTATCTATCTATCTATCTATCTATCTATCTATCTATCTATCTATCTATCTGTCTGTCTGTCTGTCTGTCTGTCTGTCTGTCTGTCTGTCTGTCTGTCTGTCTGTCTGTCTGTCTGTCTGTCTGTCTGTCTGTCTGTCTGTCTGTCTGTCTGTCTGTCTGTCTGTCTGTCTGTCTGTCTGTCTGTCTAAATTGTAGGCATTCTTTAATAGAACTTATCAGTAGGTTTGTGGTATTTTACCTTCTCCAAATGTTTTCAGTTTGTCAGGTTGTCCACGTGCCAGAAAAGGAGGTTTGAAGCTCACACCAAACAAGGATGACAAAGATGAGCAGGAGCTTAAGTAAGATTCTTTTTTTTTTTTACTGTCCTCATTCCGCTGTTATGTTAGTATAAAAATAAAACAAGGCAACAAACCAAAACCGGCATCATGCTTTCGTGCGTTACATACCTGGAGGCCGTGTAGTTAAACAAAGAAAATAATACTTCTGTTGTCCACAACATTAGTGAATTATTTTGTGGAGGGATTAGCAGTGTGTTTTTGTAGGATTTTATTTTCCCTAGGGTTTTGTGCAGGTCCTATTTTTTGAATGGGATATCTGGCTTATCACTTTTCGCCAAGTGCTTTCTTTATAATTATATTACATTAAGAAAATGTCGAACTGATGATGGCACGGCACTCATTTGCTCTAATCACTTGTCTGTGAAAGTGTTATTGAAAAAAAAAAGAATAATGTAATTGATTTGGAGTTTAAATCCAAAGTCAGATATATGATCCCTTGTTTACTTCTACATCTGGACCCTGATTTTTTCTTTTTAATTACTAATGCAAGGCCATGAGCTTAGGAATTATAGTGGAGTAGATCTCATACACATTAAGAGAGAAACGGGGGATGGTAACAAATGTCCCTAGATTATTGTAAATAGTGAGCCATATGGCATGCCTCCATTGTCTGGGCGCCTTGCATCAAGCTACCTACCTGTGGTGGATGTAAGTAATGGGGACTGATGTTGTTTTGTCCTATAAGTGAGGCCATGCTGTGTAGTAACAAAATGCTGAAACAGGCTTTTTGCAGGCAGCACTCCACACTGTGCCATTTGGATCATCTCAGGCGACCTTTCACCTTTATCAATAAGGGAATGGGTTAGCCACCTCCAAATTACATTCTTTCGCATGAGGGGGGAACATGACAATTATCTGTAATTCATGTCACTCCATTACTGACCTGCAGAAAACAGGCCTGGAAATGCAACTGACAAACTCTTAATGACATTCAGCATGAGTTGTGCTGATGTTTTTTTTCCCTCCCCAGACACAAATATTGCTCACCGCAAAATGCACGCACTAACCCGAGCAGAGCGCTAATTCCAATCCAAGTTTTAGTGGATTAATAACTTACAGCTAATGTGATTATTTGAGTCTGTGGAGTTTTTTGACTTCGTTTTTAATCAGCATTTGGATGGATTAATCAAGGTAATGGTTAAAAAATCTTCCGGTCTAGTTATTGAAAGTGATTTTTTTTAATACTCTTTTTGTGTAGTTTAGGAATAACACTGTTTTGTACTGCAAGAAAACAATAACATATAACTGTTGCTAAATGCAAACCTGTTAGATTTTTTGGCAGTGTGTGCAGCATTTCAGTATACACATCTTTTGACCTGTAGGTGTCCCGTGATTGGATGTGATGGGCAGGGCCATATATCGGGGAAATACACATCCCATCGTAGTGCAGGCAGTTGTCCACTAGCTGCTAAAAGACAGAAAGAGTCGTCCATTAATGGCCTGCCCTTTGCCTGGAAGGCTAACAAGCAAGAACTGCCCCATTGTCCCTTGCCTGGCTGCAACGGCCTCGGACATGCCAATAATGTATTTGCCACTCACCGAAGGTAAGGTCACTTCTTTACCATTTCCTCTCTCAGCATAACTCCTGACTGTAATGTTGCATTTTTACTGTACATTGCCACATTTACTGGTGGTGCACTGATCCAAATTTTGTGACCAATTTCCAATTTCTGATTTTTGTAAAGCATGGAGTGGTAAACCATTTTGATCTCTATTTAGCAGCTATAATTTATAGGCTTTTTCTAGCCTTGCTTCATAATTTTAGCAAATTTTACACAATCTTATGAAAACTTCTCAACCTGGAGTGTTGATATCTAACCCTAAAGATACATTCATGCTCCCTTTATGTGTGAAAGGGTAGAGCCTGTTTCTAACTTTGCTGAACATCACAGCCCACAGTGGAAGCCATCTTGATAATGTGCAGTCACAGAAAGAGATATAAAAAGAAAGACTGCAGGAAACAGAGGTGGTCTGTGCAGCATGATTAAGGGAAAGCTCCACCATTTCTGTCACGGTGATCTTGGATGAATCTGGACAGAATATTCCATCTGTATTCTTCAGCACAAATGGGCCTTTATTCCACATTTTCCCAAGGGCCGCCTGTATCTCCATATCCAAGATATTATATGACAGATGCAAAGCGTTTAAAAGGGTAAAACAAAATGAACAAAAACAAACAAAAAAAAACTTTGATGTACTTAAATAAGCCATCCGGTTATCTGCTTGAAAACCTTGCGTCATCATTGCTAAAGGAATGTTTGAAATATAGTATTTACAGAAGAGTGCTTGACTTCAACGTGACACAAATATATGTACAATTTTAGTGAATGAAATTTTGAAGAAGACATAAAATAGTGGAGGATTGCAATGATGGGATAAAGAGTATGAAAGATTTCAGTTTATTGTAATCAATATATTTCTTATACAACATTAAGATGGTAAAGAGTCTGTACTTGTACAGCATTTCATCTAGTCCAGAAGACTTCAAAGCACTTAACTGAGTCAAAGATTGGATTTTTACATTTCTGATTGGCCTGTACTCAGTTAGGGCTGAGTACTTAGGGCTTTGCGTCTCTGTCCTTTAGGAGTCTATGTAGATTTGGTGGTGTCCTACAACCTTAAACTGTTATTTGTGCTTGACTAGCTTGTCAGGGTGCCCGCTGAATGCACAGAGCATCAAGAAAAAACACTCAGAGGAGGAGATGATGACTATCAAACTGAAAACCAGCAGTGGTGAGTGAATTAAAAAAATTAATGTTATTGCTTACATAAAAAAAAATACTTTTAAACTATAATACTTGGGGTCTGTGTAATCCAGGCGTTGAAAACAAAGAGGACATTCACCATCTGGATCATGAAATCAAGGAATTGAATAACTCAAATATGAAAATTGAAGAAGACATGATGCAGCTTCAAACACAGGTAAGTATTTACTCCCACAGATTGTGTTCAAAAGCAACAGTTCAGGGTGATCACTGCTCGCTTAATCTGATGAGCCTCTCCTCGGTTTTGAACCCGAAAGCAGATCTCGTCGATGGAATGTAACCTGAAGACAATTGAGGAGGAAAACAAGATGATCGAACAGCACAATAACAGCCTTCTGAAGGAGCTTGCTCGCCTCAGCCAAGCTCTCATTAACAGCCTGACAGACATTCAGCTGCCTCAAATGGTACAGTAAGCTTTGACCACACATTGCATCTGTCGAACCTGTCAGTGAAAACTAGCTTCCTTCAAATTGTCATTTCCTGCTGCACTGTTTCCGCTAATGGTCAAACTTGTTTTTGTTGCAGGGACCCATCAGTGAGCATAATTTTGAAGCCTATGTGAACACATTAACTGATATGTACAACAACTCGGAGCATGAATACTCCCCGGAGTGCAAGGCCCTCTTGGATAATATCAAACAGGCTATTAAGGGCATCCATGTTTAAGCTGCAGAGCTACCAAGAGGTTCCTTTGACTTGGGATAATGACACTAGATAGCTCTATTTCACAGAAGAGTGCTGGCTCGGCTGCATGTATAAGACAAGGTTTTTGGAAATGTGTTCGGCATTTCCCCGGTAAACGCGCTGCACTGAGAAAATTACCAGCCAGATTTGTAATGCTTTTACCGTTTCTGCATTTATCCTGGTGAGATTTTTTATTACAATTATTTTATTTTTATCCCCTCTTGCACTTAATTATTTTGTATGATTTGCTTGATTTTAATCTGTATGTGTTTATGTCATTCTTATATTATTGGTATTTATTACTATATTTGTTCCTCAGTGTATTTATTTCATCGGATTTTATTTATTTCTTGAACTGTAAATGCTTAATATTTGAGAAATCTGTTGGTTTTTCTGCACATTGTAAATTACACAAAAGCACATTCCAGTTTTTAATGGCATACTTTCGCCATCTAGTGTCGAAAAAGCTAGTCTATTATTACTCTTCTTATTAATTTATGAGTTTAACTTCCCTTCAAAGAAAAAAAGAAACCTACCAAAACTAAGTATCACCGGTTTTAAGCATTGCTTTCACTTTTGTTATTGGGAACTGAATGTATTAGACAAAGTGAGATTAAAAAATTATATATGATAAAAATAAAACAAAATGCAATGCAAGAGTACTGTACCTTTTTATACTTTGATGAGAATGCAGCATCATTTAGGGAAGCGAATGTGAGTTTATGCCCAAACGGAGCGCATCTAAAAGAAAAAAAAAAAAAAATCAAAATTTCACTTTGTCATAATGCTTTGTTGTTTTTTTTTTTTTTTTTTTTTACAGAAATATAGATATTAAACTGCCTTCTGTGCACACACGCTGAAGTGTGCATATAGTATGTGCCTAAATGTATATGAATCCATGAAAATATACAAGTACTATGTTTTGTGGTAGGACAGTATTACGTGGATGGTGTCTAATTTATTCTACAGTACAATTATTTTCATAGGAGGACGAGTTCCTGATGACTGTTTGAAAACTGGTGTTTCAGTAGCTGTAATCTCTGAGTCAGGTTCTTAAAGTATGACTGAGACTGAAATTGTTTCTTTTTCTTCTCTTGTTTTACTCTTTTCTCCTCACAGGTCTTAGCATTTCAAACGCTGTCAAACTTTAAATATCTTATTGCCACATTTTAATAACTATTTTAAAACGATGTCAAAAAAAACTGGCAATTTGGTTTAAATCAATCATTACAGAAAAACAGTCGTTAAAGGCTGATCAGTTGTCATTTTGAGCAGCACTTTTGTACCAACGTATTTTGTCTCCATTAGATCAACAAATAGAAGAAAATGGAACATTGTTTTTACTTTACACCTCCATATATTTTTATTCTCTCAGTTTTAAATTAATCCAAGAGTTGGAAATGCATAATATTAATTTAAGCAATAGGTATGTATTTAATTTTTAGTCCAATGTAGCCCTGACGGTTTTGAAAGCAAACATTGTAATAGCAAAGGAGCCAAATTGCAGAAAATTGAAACCATATTTTATCCAAACACAAGAATTTTAATCTTTTAAAAACCCAATTATGTTCTTTAAATTTAATCCTTTATCTTTTTTTTTTTTAATTATTGTTATTATTCCTAAACCACATGTTGTTTGCTCAGGAAGTTTTGTGAATAATATTTATTTATTTTTTTCCTCTCCCTGTTAGTATTTGATGTTTTGTAATGTGAAAATGCTCTTTTTGTGGAACGATATTAGTATGAAATTGTACTGTATTTTCTTTTCTTTTTTTCTTTTTTTTCTTTTACATTAAAATGTAATGGTTTTTTTTCAGTTGGGGTAGTTTGTAAAATGGAAACTTCCTATTACTTTTACTATTTCATAATAAACAGATATGCGCTGTGTTGTACAGTTTGTGTATGGTAGAAATAAACTTTTCAAACGGTTGTGTGATTTTTTTTAAAGGCTTTGAGTGCACCGGCAATCCAACAGTAACGTTGATGCCTGATGGGAAAAAATTTGCATGGGCCAACACTGGCACCTAGTGGTAAATCTGAAATATTACATCAAGAGCAGGGAGTTGGCCCCGGGGAGTAAATATGCTACTGTAAACTCATGTTATGTAGTTAAATTTAAAAAGACCAAACAATCATGACATCCAAGGAGTGACTGAGAACAAATGATGTAGCCAACAAATGATAACCTTTACCTAAATGAATTGTATTTCTGCTAAATATTAATTAATCTATTGTTTATTATGTTTATTTAAAGCATGTCAGCTGCACTTCAGAAGTCGGGCAGATTGTACAGTATGTCAGATCATCTTCAGAGAAATGACCAAATTGGGTTTATATATTTAGATATATATAAACATAGTTTATGTTTTGTAGATATATGTTTCAGAATTGAGGTAGAATGTATCTCACTACCTATTGTCATCTGTGGAAGATTAGAGTAGGTAGAAGCAGACATCTAAATGTGATTTCTATTTTCCAACCTCTATGCACATGTCCCATATTTTCTTTTTACTAAATGAAAAACAATGTGCATCAAACAACATGATGTATTTACAGCCCAGAAAAAAGTGGGGGTTGTCATTTTTGAAGCATATGTTTTATCATGTCACAAATCTTTAACATATTTTATTGAGATTTTATGTAATACACCAACACAAATATTGCATGTTTGTGAAGTAAAAGGAAAATGATGCACAGCTCTCAATGTTTTCTTGCCAAAAGTGTAGTGTGAAACTAAATTATAGCTGGGTGTCTTTAACTATATGTCTCTGAGGTTTCTTCCTCAAGCTTAGGGAGGCCACATGTGCAATTTAGCCTCTCTGTTTGCCACATATTCTGTTTCAGATCAGGTTAAGACTTTGACTGAACCATTCTTGGATATAAAACCATAGCATTGTAGCCCTGGCTGTATGCCTGGGGTTATCCTGTTGGAAGGTGAACCTTCATCTTAGTCTCAAATGTTTTACTGCCTCTAACATTATTTTTCCAGATTACTCCATTTAATATCATTTGGTTTTTCATTAACACTGTAAATTGCAAATAAGGCTTCTTTTTGCTTTCTTCTAACAATTGCTTATTTCTTGTTACCCTTCCATAAATGCCAGTTTTGTGGAATGCTTGACTAACATTCGCCAACAACTGTCACGCATGTTCCCACCTGAACTTTGGATATCTCCAGTGTTACTATTAACCTCTTGGCTTCCCTAAATGTCTCTAACAAATTTCTGAGGCCTTCACAAAGCAGATGTATTTACACTAAGACATGCAGGTAGACTTTGTTTAGACCAGTATATGATTGCGGAAAGTAGTTATTTGTATTTTATTTAGGGTTACCAGAGTAAACAAGGCTGCATACATACTCACTCGACACTTTTCAGTTTTGTTTTTCTTTTTGAAAATGTGTCTCATCAAATCCCATAAAGAACTACTTTTTGTGAATTTGACATTTTTAAAAAAATTTCAAATTAGGTATAATAACTGTTCACAGGCAGACAGTTAAAATAAAAAAATTAATCAACAAAAGACATCAAGTCAAAAATTACTTTTTCATCACTCTTAGCAAATGTGTCTCTTCTTTTTCCTTAGTTTTACTTTATTTACATTTTTTTGTGAAAAAAAATCACCACTAAGACTTCTTAGTGGTGAAAATTGAATACAAAAAACTGAGCTCTGAGTGAAATCAGTTCAGTTACTTTGTGGGGTCAATAGTAATTGCACAGTTTATTCTTTCTTTTTAGAAAAGGCTAGGCTATGTTAAGCCACAACCCAATTACCAGCTTTCTGCCCCAAAAGCAGGTAAAAATAATAATAAGATGGTAAAGCAAATAATGACTGGCAACATTGGTCCTTATATGTAACCTCACATGTTGATTTACTTCACTGGAGGAAGCATACAAATCAAATGTGTTGGAAATCTAAAACAACAAAACAAGACATGAGGTATGTGCTGCATGAAGCCACTTCCTGGAAAGTTGCAAGTCTCTCTTCCTGTAACATTCCTTCTGTGGTTTTCACTGCTATATAGAGACACCAGTGCTTCTGTATTCAATCTAGTCTGAGCATAAAAATAAGGACAGGAATATAAAAAGTACCTATGAGAAGTAATATAAGAGTACTGTAATGTAATATTAGTGTCTTTTTAACATACCCCATCTGTTGGATCCTCTTTAAAATATGGTAGACGATGGTTCTTTAAGTACTGGATTGGATATCAGCACATCATCTGGACTGTGGGGGGAAAAAAAACAACATTTCAATAAGATATCTGACAAGAGTAAACTTAAAAATCTACAGATAAACAATGTAATCAGAGCTAAAGGGTGCAGTGCATTATTGGACCCTGCTGTTTGTTCATTCATTATTATCATATTATTCAGCACAACACTGCATATCGGTTAAAATTTTCCGTGTTAGTGTGATGGAGAGAAGGTGTCAATGTGCGGACCACGGTTTCGCTAACCTCCTCTCTCCATCCCTCACTTCAGAGCTCATGAGACTAATTATAACACAAAAAACAAACCCTTCTTGTACATAAGTGTTGATTTTGTTTGATTCAGGGACTCTGAGAGTGGCAGTGAGTGACATTACTAATGATCGTGGATGAGCAGCTATTCAGATATGAGAGACACTCAAATGTGCGTCAGGAATTATTTTGAATTAATAGTTTTGGCTCAGGCAAGTGGATCTCAGCACCTCTGTTGTGTAATAACACCACTGGGGGAGGAAGTAAGCAAACTCTTCAGGTACAGGTTATTCTTCCTGTACCTGAAGAATAACTACTCATCAAGATATTTATTTGTATTAATATTTTTTTTAATAAAATCTCTGAAAGAAAAGTAAAAAACAAGGAAGTTCAAACTGTTTAATTGCCTCCCACACAAGAAGAAGTTTGAGATGCACTAATACATGGAAAAAGACCACATGCTGCCTCACACATGAAAAAATTCAGAAGAAAAAGCCCATTTATGCAAGCTGGCCACTTCAGAGCCAAAGCGCATGTGATGACCGGCGCTTCTTCCACATTAAACCAGGTGATCATCCATTCCCAATCCTCCACAGCTAAATTTAGGTCTCTCATTATAGGAGGTTAGAAGGTGCATGACGCTTTCTACAACCTTTCTATTCTTAAATTCTCTTGTTGAAGAGCCAAAAATGAATAGTCCGATCGCATGGTACAGATCTGCTTTCCTCTTCCTTGTTTCCTTTGCTAGATTAGTAGATATTATTAGATGCTTATACAAACCGACACAGAAACAGTGATCTTTAAGCAAGGCTCAATAACATACTCATGCTAACAAAGACAGTATTTTTTTACACGGTAATTTTTGCATCATGTCCTTGTGTGCTACGAAGAGGCCCCACTCTGAAGTATAACCAGATGTGAGAATACGTATTCAGCAGGGAAGCTCCTGCTATATAGTGCTCATTAAAAAAAAGTATGGAAGAAATTGTACAATCTTCTGTGTCCTTAGAAATGAAGCTCCCTTCTCTGACCTGACAAAGAGATCACGTTATGGTGACTGAATACTTGCAAAAGTATTCATACCCAATGAAACCCATGATCAAAAACACTGTGTCCTCTGTGGCCATGAGATGATCCTGTTTGGAAGAAGGTCCAGCAGAGACTGTGCTTTCTATAGTAACTCAATTGTCATCTTTCATGTGACCATTATTCAGTCCATCCTGTGCACACTCATCACTCTGTGGTTTGGATAGTCCACAAAAAAGGACAGGTGCAAATTGCCATGAACAACTAGGTCTGCAGAAAAGGTCGGCCTGGCTATATTCGCAACATAGGAAGGCCTACTCAAACTGTAATAAAGTTATAGCTTGAGTAGTTAAAAACTCTGCTATAAAACAAAAATAAGTAAAACAAAATAAGTATTTTGTCACTTTTCTTTTTCTTTAAATAATCATAAAATGAATGTACATACTGGACTTTTCCTTTCATTCTTTATTTTATTTCTTCTAAAGAAATAATATTTCACATTTAATGTGTACATACATTAAGCAATATTTATGTTTAATCTGTTCACTGTGCATGTGAAACAGAAGTCCAATTCCTTATTTGTGTACAGTCTTGTCCAAAAAATCTGATTTTAAATGTTTTTTTGCATTTATTCACATAGCAAAAAGCTTCATTTGTTATATGAGTTTATAAACAGTACAAACGAAAAGATAAGTATGGAGTGGTAGAAAACATTCACATTGTTTTTGAAAAATAAAAATACCTTGAAACTGTATGGTGGTTACATCAAGCTGTGTTGATGCTTTGCATCAGCAGGACAAGGAAAGTGGTCAGACTCATTTAGTGGGTAGACCTAAATGTAGAGAACTTCTGAAAGAAACACTGTTTGGGGCAACAGTAGACTGGGGTATTGAACCACCCTTCAGCAAAACAGCAACCCATAAGTACCTGAAAGCAAATGTCATAAGACTTTGTGACTGACCATCAACTCTGACATCATTCCCCAAAGATAATATTTTTGGTGGCAGAGTCATGCTGGGGGGATTATTTTCTGTAGGAGAAGAAAAGCTAATTGGAGATGAAAAGATGTAATGGGGATAATGTTGTAAGCAATGCTGAAAGAAAACCTGCAGACTCAGATTTGGAATAAGGTTAATCTTTCAGCCTAATAAATATAAATGTAAATATAGTAAATATAAATCCTATGAAAAGACATCCAAATTTTACTTGAAAGGTGAAAAAAATGACAAACTCTGTATGTTGGAACACAATTTTATAACGTTTTTGGAGTAGTAAAAACAGAATTGTAACATTTTAGGAGCAAATGCATCCCGACAGTATGATTCTACTACACAACTGCACACCACACTTTTCAGATTTATATAATAAATTTAAAAAAACAAACATAGATAGATAGATAGATAGATAGATAGATAGATAGATAGATAGATAGATAGATAGATAGATAGATAGATAGATAGATAGATAGATAGATAGATAGATAGATAGGCAACAGTTTCCTGTTTCGACATTTTCAAACCACGTGACCCGTGTTTACATTTTCTCTCAGCTGTTTCTTTCTTCCTTCTCTCCAGCACAGCGTCTCACCGTTACTACTCTTATTTCTCCAAACCAAACCACTAAAGTTAGCTCACACAAGCAGCACTTACTCTCTGGAAGAGGCTGTTGTCGTGCGAAAGTGGCTTTCACTGACCGTCGCATTGCACGGTGCATTCACTTGCAAGAAGTGAGTAAATGCGACATGACACTGTGAGTATTTTTGTTTTCCTTGTTGTTAAGTTCCGTGTGCTTGCGTCTTACCTGGTTTTGTTTTTTTTCTGTTCGTCTGTAATTATGTTCAGTTAGTGGTGACTTGCACAAACAGAGCAGCAGCGTTGTGTATGTGATAGGTTGTGTGTGTAACAGCAGGATAAAGAGCCGAGCTTACCTAACCTGCTTTGTCTCTGTTTTGATGATGGCGTACTTGGGGCCCACCAGAAGCTAACCTTAGCCAGCCCCAATCACACAGCTGCTCTCATAAATAAGATGCTAGCCTCCGAGCTAAAAATCGTGTCCACCGTGACATATGCAGGTTTTATTTCTCGACGTGAATGTCAGGCTGTTGAAACGTGGCAAGGGGGCACTTTTTCTGTCATGTTGACATGAGAGAATTGAGGCTTCGGAATTTTTTTTATTTTATTTTTTTTTTAGTTCTGATTTTTAACACAACTATGACCAGAAACCCACAAGGTGTAATATTTAATTCGTTTTAACAAACCGGTTTTGTGAGTTGCAAGCAGGCAAATAATGGGGTTAATCGCACTGCAGAAAGCTGGCCAGCAACTGCGTTTCAGCTCGACAAGTGGGAACAGAAAACTGCATGAACGCTGAGCCGCAGCGCAAACTCTCTGTGTGTTTAGAAGCAACTTTATTTAATGCACGATTCCTCGTGGGTTCATCATTATCAGACACGAGTGTTAATCGGGAAGAATTTTGGCTTTTAAAGGCTGAAAAACATCTCATGAAAACGGTGTTGTTATTTTGCTCCGTCGTCACACGCAGCAAAGGCAGCGTGTTCGGGCCGCGGATTGGCTGAGGCGCTGCTGTCTGTGTGGCAACGGGATCACGTGACCAGGCGCACTGTTGATTGGCTTCCTCGGGTGTCAATTGATTTAGCAGCATCTATGCGTCTCATCGCGTTTAAAAAGGGGACCCCCTTTTTATGGGTGTTTTCTTTGCTGGCGTAATAAAAATATATATCATAATTATATCCGACAGCTAAAAGATGATGTAGCTATCCCAAAATTATGATAACTTATCTAAAGATAAGATCTTATAGTTGAGGTAGAATCTTATAACTATAGGGTTCCCTATCTGATTTAAGTATGTGATCTCCAACATGTTATTATTGTGGTAAAAAAAATGCGATGATGAAATTAAGATGATTTCAAACCTAAATCTACCTGGGCTGTGATTGATTTTGGGACTAACTTTAGTGAAGTCATAGAAACAAGCATCGATCCTGTAAGTAGCATCTACTTTGGAATCTTGTAAAAGTGCCCACCCCAATAATTCAAGATTGAGCTCAATTTACACAAAAAATGTCAAAGTTTTGTTGAAGTAACTCATTTAAAAACTCATTTAAAATGGCAACAAAGCAAAGAAAGGAATGTTTTAGGACTGGAAAGGGCAGTAAATAACAGATATAGACAAAACATGTAAAACTGTAGAATTTATATGGGACATACATTCTTTTGGCCTTACAAATTTATATTGTTATTCTAACATAATTGTTAGAATAATGTAATTCTGTAGAACATATTTTAGTGCCTCTACCTTGTACTCCAGAATCTGGTTGTGACAGGAAAGTAGTGGCTGAGGAAATTCCCTCAGTGAAGTCAACTGTTTAAACAGGTTTTACAAACTTGTAAAGTAAAGCTGGAGAGGTGGGTAAACTACTTCTATGCAAGTTGGTACACCTAAAAATAAATGTTGATTGACTAAATGAACATGTTTTACTTTGACATCACACTTGCACTGAGATCTGTTACTGTATGTTTATACAACACACATAAATTAAATGAACTAAATATGATTATTACTTATATATTTAAAGATGAATGACTGCATAAGTTTGTTAGAATGGAACCTAGTCTATTTCTTTTTTTTATGTAACATTTACGTGAAAAAAACAGAGAGAACGGTATTACTGAAAAAGGTATTACTGAAAAAGGTATTACTGAAATTAATTTTGAATACTCATTTGAATTGGTATTGATATCTTGGGCTGGAAAAAGAAGTTGTTCTTGAAACAAGTAGCAGTGTTTATTCACCACAGAGCACTGAAAGGATTTAGTCTGAAGATGGTGCTAAAGCTAAAGTCATTATGGTAAACATTTCATAAATTCTCATGTGTGCCTCTGGAAATGAAGGCAATGACACACAGGCTGCTTAAAATACAAGCAGCAAAGTCTCCCTAAAAAAGCTGTTTTGTTGTTATTGATATTTGACATAGATCCTAAACAATCTGTAGTAACTGTAATAACTGAGTTGCACAATTAAGTTGATATTTTGTTACATGCATATTGTTTTTACCATATAGACTCCCCAGACTCACTGATAAAGCACTGGCTGCCCAGGGAAGGTTGAAAAGCCACCCTGCATGACACTCCATCTGGTTGGAACCATAAATTTGCACCGTGTAAAATATAAGAAGGCTGATTATGCTTAACACTTTTGTCCTCCTTTTGACCCTACACGGCATGTCCAGTTGTCACAATCTGAGAGCTTCAAGACATGTTAGTTTTCTGAAATGAATATTAAGTATCAGGGTAAAGGTTAAGGCCTAAGAGTGTTAATCTCAAGATTATTCCAGTACTGCATAAAACCATTGTGATTTGCTTTAGCGGATTGTGATTAGTTTTGCGTTCTTAACAGGGTTTGGATTGTTAGGATTTGATTTACAGCATCTTGGCGTAAAATGAAACATCTGTCTTGTGGGGAAATTTGACCGAGTGGGTGAAAAACTAAAGCACACAAACAGCAGAATGCAGAACTGCTAACTCTGCTTTTCATTCATCTCAATTAATAATGTTTAGCATCTATGACAGGTTATGTGAATATGATGTCACTGCAACTTCAAAGCTTTTGAAGTTTTGTCAAATTCGCTTATGATATTTGCTTTCATTAGCTACTGAAAAATGTAGTTGCAAAACATTTAGCAGTGATTGTAACCTTAGCCCTTTATAATCTAAAGTACAAACAAGCCAACCCCTGACAAAAATATACAGAAGATATATTCTTGGTGGTTATTTGAGCAGTTATTTTAGTTTGCGGCACAGTAATAAAAGAAACAATGTGTAATCATGTACTTAATTAAACTGGTTTTTAAAGACTGCTTGAAGTCCTTGAGGCATCATTGTAACTTTGTCATTCAACATTCATGTTAATTTCCTTTTCAATTGAATTGAGATTACAACTACACTGTGAATGATTTCGAGCGGTTTGCCCAGGTGTGTACATTTTGTGGTACGTTTTGTAATGTGTAAAATCTAAATTAGTTTTTATAGTATACGTAGAGATGAACTGATCTCAAGAAATGAACAATTAAATTACAGGCATCAATTGTTTTCACAAAATGTTTGCTTTTCTACAAACTTGTCACATTTACAATTTACATCGTTCTAGCTGTACAAATTGTTTTCCCTCATTCTTTTAAAAAGGAGCTTCTCACTGAGTTTAATGTTAAAGCTGGTGTTTTACCAGGCTATTCATTCTTCCGGCTTATATGATGGGAGAAGATTATTTTAAAAGCTGACCTTTGTATTAATGGACCATGTGAAACAAAACTGTAACCAGAGTGCTAAAATGTTTAATTAAATTTGCACCTTTATGATTATGTCAATAAACCTCAACTTATTAGGCAACTGATTATTTTATATACTTGCATAATAAATCAATGACTGCTCCTGTAGGTAATGTGCCTTGCAAGAATATTCATAGCTTCTGAACTTTTATTAATTTTACTGTTTACATTTTTCACATTAGAACCACAATGTTGAGTGTTTTTTCATTTGGATTTTTGATATAAACCCAGTACAAAGTAGCACATACAAAGTAATTATAAAGAATCCTATGGACTCTCTTTAAGAAATCATGTTTGTTAAGTACTGCAATTCGGATTTTAGTTGTGGTAAGTTGACTTTTTTTCTTGAGTCCTCACCATGTTGCTTCCAAATTTCTTATGCTAAAAGGTCACCTTCGTTATATGTAGGCTTCTTTTTAGTTGGACTTCATCCAACAGGCTGAAAATATTACTTGAATGCAAAGTGTTAATTCCTGACACTCAACCTTTTACAACCAGAAATTCTAAACATTCATTTGCAATATTATTTCCCATGACATTCATCTTGATTAAATATTGTGAAGCCATATTTTCCAGTTGTGCCATGCACTTTCTAGTTTAAGATTGTGCCTGATGCTTATAGGTTACTGCTTCATAAACTAACCCTTAACCTCTTCACAATATTATTCTTGACCTGTCTGCTGTATTGCTTGGACTTTATGACATCCACTATGTCCTTGACATATATCTTCTGAAGTCAGTCTGTTGCAAAGAATTTTATTTCTTTGCGAGACTTGGCAAATATATTTGCATAGCACTTTTCAGCAACATTCTAAGTACTTTGCATGATGAAAACACAAAAAAGATGTGGAGTGAAACAAAGTTGATCTAAAGACAAAAAATCATGATTTTTCTGTTATGAATATAACACAAAAGCAACCAAACAAATGGAGTTTTAAAAGGAGCTTGGAGTTTCAGCAGTTTTTTTCAGTTTTCTGGTAGTTTATTCCAGATAAGTGCTGCATCCCCATGTTTTTTTCTTTTTTTGGGGGGATGGAGAGTAGACCTGAGCCATAAGACCCATGTAATAGATTGCATCCGACGCTTTTCAAATCCTTAGAAAATTAAATGCCATTTTTCTTCCACTTCCCAGTTATGCACCACTTTTTGCACTTTTTTTTATGCACCACTTTTCATGCACATCGTAGGAAATTCTAACAAAGTGCATGCATGTTTTGAAAAAAATCAATAGATGTGTATCATTGTGAGCTGCGGTACATACAAAGAGATCACAAATTGTAAACTAGTCATTGTAAATGACTAGATTTGAAGGAGAAAGCAAATATAAGTTTTTTGAATTTTACTGTAAGAATAATACAGTAAGCTATATTCTGGGATTCATTTCTGCCATATCATTTATATTGAAAAAAGTGTGTTTGTGTCAAACCCAGAGGACATGCATATAATTTATTTTCTTATAAGCATAGCCTTATCAATTTTACTTCACACTTAATAAGGAAACTCTCTGTCTGGCAGTGTGCTTCTGGTGTGCTGCCCAGACGGGTCTACGGTATTTGGTTTCTGCAGTCGAGCCTCTAACTGACGATCTGTTACATGTTTCTTCTTTCTGCAAAGATTCTGGGTCACATGAGCCAAGCATGACCTCAGATGGTGTTCGAAGTGTCCCAGTGCACAACTATGACATCAGCTATTTTTCTATAAGCAAAGTTGTTTTGTGCTTTTAAACTGGTGGCGCTGTTTTAACAAATGCTTTTCTGTACTTCCTAATTTGTGCAAAGATGCTAATAATGACAACGTTTCGACAAGCCTGTAGATTATCAGAGGTAGGACTACCTACCTCTGATACTTCTGCTCTCAGAGGTAGGACTGCAATATTACTCCAAAGCATTTTTGCTGGAATACCTCTCATGACCCAATTTCTGGTATTTTTTTTTCAATGCCTTCAGAGAAAAAATTGGATGAAAAATGTTCTGCTGTGGGTCCAACAATGGGGAAGAGAATCAATGATTATTTTTGCCTGGGAGAAAGAGCCAAAGGAAAATTACCTTACTGGGCCTCACGCTACAAAGTCACCTCTGATTTTTATCTTTATTAGCTGAGTCAGATGTGAAGATGCTGAGGAGGCAGAGAAGGAATTCAGATCTTTTCTCTCTGAGCTGCATTGTGAACTATAAATGTTCATTTTGAAAAAAAAAAAAAAAGCCCATCTCAGTAAGAATTGTTTTGTTTACATGTCTTAAGATATTTAGGTTTTCAACATTTCTTGTTTTTTCTTATTTATGAATTAGTGAACTTTCATAGGGTTCACTAAAAGGTCAAAAGCTTGAGAGAGCATACAAGACATTAAAAGAAGCAAATCTGAGTATGAAAAAATGAACAAATGTTCACAAAGCATTACCAATCTGAAGCCAACCATGTCAACTCTGAGTCATTCCGCAGACATTATCTGCCCTGAGCAAAACCAGAACCAGTGTTTTTCACACCTGAATATCTGGCAGGTTGCATCAAATAAAAGCACAGCTTGACTGAAAATGAGAAATATTCTGCACACTTTCCACTTTGGACAGTATTTCTGAATATTAATAAAAATGGCTTTCATTTCCTGGCTCAAAGCTGTATTTTGATTTTTTGGGATTTTTTAAGAAGTTTAATTATAAATTGACTGCATGAATAAACTGGAGAAAATAAGAACAATTTAGCTCCATCTAAGTCTCTATAGTTCTACATTTCTAATGAAATACCAGCTTGAGATATCATGTTTATAAAAAAGGGTGAAAACATTTCTCTGCCAAAAATTTTCTAGCTGCAGTTTTAAAATGCATCACATTTTGGTTAATTAATTAACCAAAATGCACACACATTGGTACATACAGCTTCACTTGCAAGTTTCATTATTTATTTCAATGGCTATTTTTTAGGATGAAAATATATTAACATCATCATCAGAAAGACGATGATGTTTATGCTTTTTCATTTTTACAGGAAAAGAACGAATAACTTTGGGAAACCTAAACTTTTCCCTCAAAAATTCCAAGAGCCCAACACTGAGTCTATTTTGAACACAGTCATCAATTATGTCCTCATAGTCTTGCTTTTTGGTCAGCTGTCTCACAGTGGACAACATGGAAATATCAAGTATCAGTAAAAAAAAAAAAATTCTTCAGAAAAAAAATCTACAAAAAATCTTGAGTGCTGAATTTTTGCTTAGAAAAATTATTAGTTTTTTGTTCTGTAATTACTCCTCCATGTAAATAAAATTAATCAAATAAATCATAAAACACCTAATTAATTGGCAAATCCTGGCAAGGGTGAATGTTTACAAACTTCAGAGCTGAACTACACAGAGAATGTTGTTCTTTAGATACGCCACAAATTCAGTGGCGTATGAATTTGTTAATATTATTCTTTAACAGCAGATATTTTGCCTTGTGACAGCTGGATGTGCAGAGGTTATAAATTGCATTGATGATGGCTTTGTTTCATTCCTGTAAGCCACATAAGCAGGTCAGCATGTATTATGGAGTGGCTCTTGAAGCCAAATTGAGTGAAAACCTCATCAAAGTTATTAATTGCAGTTGTGCTCTTCCTGCTGTGACGTGAAGATTTTAGGGAGGGGGCCATGGAAAATTCATCAGCCAGCTTCTTTCACTTGTTAATTTTTCATCATCAGACAGCCTTGGCTGTGCATTAATCCATCCCCAATAAGCCTTTCCAATCTGCATCTTAATAGTTAACTTAAGAAGACATTGGTTTTTTTTCTGGAGGGATTTTGAAATAACACAATACTGATATTTTCTTTTTTTCTTCTCAGCTCTCTTGCTGTTTGGAAATGAGCCCCATCTGAAGTGACACTCGACGACTTGCGTTGGCAGGACCCCCTTAGCCAGCGTATATATCCATGCTGCTGTGAGGAGGACTCACTCAACCTGTGTACAAGTTCATCCCTACTGTGTCTCTTCTCTTTTCGCAATGGGGGGAGCTGTGAGCGCCGGGGAGGACAACGATGACCTTATTGATAACCTAAAGGAGGCTCAGTACATCCGCACAGAGAAGGTCGAGCAGGCCTTCCGAGCCATAGACCGAGGCGACTACTATCTGGACGGTTATCGGGACAGTGCCTACAAAGACTTGGCATGGAAGCACGGAAACATTCATCTGTCTGCTCCGTGTATATACTCTGAAGTAATGGAGGCCCTCAAACTCCAGCCAGGCCTTTCCTTCCTTAATCTGGGCAGCGGAACCGGTTACCTGAGCACAATGGTTGGGCTCATCATAGGTATTCTTTATGTAATACTATTTCAAGCGATTGCTTAATATGTGCGATTCTCAGATCTTTTACAGGTTGAGCTTAGTGGATCAGAAGATCATGGAAGAGTTCAAAAGGGAGAGCTCCAATATTATATAGATTACAATCTATAAAATATAGTTACACATAGTGTTTATTTCTGTAATAAAGACAATTAGTTCAGGTTAATGAAAACCATTTCTCCCAAAATCTAATATTTGATGGAAACAATGAAAAGTGTTTGGTTTTTTTTATATATTTTGATCTACACAATCATAGGGAAAACTGCAAAGTCAGCAGAGCACTGAAGACAGGTTGGTTGAATTTTAATTTGAAGTTGCTGGAGAATCATTGTGAAGTTTTCACAGTCAGAGTTTATTTCTGGAACCTTGAGATCTGATGGTGACGGTCCAGCAACAATGATTTCATTCTCCGGTGACACTTGGCATATGTCCATACTTCCAAAAGTAATGTCTGGTTTATTGACCGTAACATCACTGTGCTTGATGGACCTGTAGTGCAAACTCTTCAGATGTAAACACTCTACAGAATGTTGTCAAAAGGAAGAGGAGAGACACCAGACCCAGCAGCAAGGAAGAGGGAAGAGTGGAAGGTGTCTACTAAAGCATCCTGAGCTGCATTAGCCTCACTGTATTTATGCTGTAATTCATGCATTAGGAGTTCTAAGTATTGTGTGCATCTACTATACAGCACAAGAACATACATTTCAGCAGTGTGGCATTTCTGCATTAAACCAAATTTTTGTTGATGGTGTGTCATTTTATCATTTTATGAAAAACTGAAATTACTGATTAGTTTACTGAAATAAAATAATATTTTATATTACACGTTATTAAGATTCTAGCTAATTCGGCAGTTTGAAATCTTAACTTATTGTCCAAATGGAGATGATAAAATATTTCAAGATTGAAGACCACAAATTATTAACTGCTTTGTTTTCCTTCTCAATAATGGCCCTTGTTGAAATGAAAAGCCCATAGTATTTGAAAACGAGTGTGTTTAAGATTAAAGCATTGCTTCTGTATTTATTTTCCCCCTTTTGTTTCTGCTTCAGGCCCCTACGGTGTGAACCATGGAGTTGAGCTCCACAAGGATGTGGTCGAGTACGCCAGACAGAAACTTGATGAATTCATTAAGAATAGTGACAGTTTTGATAAGTGAGTAATGCTGTCAGAGTATTCCTACTTTGTTAAATGCCTTGTTGTCAGATGCAAACTGAAAGAGTTGTTTTTTTTTATTTATTATTTTTTCCCTTACTAATCTCTCCTGAATCTCTGACGGTTGCCTAGCAAACAGTTTCACCAAGAAGCTGCCCAGAACAAAACCACCCACGTAAATACTCTTAAAACGGATCACTGTCTATGTGGCAAATTAAACACAAATGAATGTTAATAAATGGCTGTAGCTCAGAAGACAGAGAGGTTGTTTCTCAGCTGGTGGGCTGCTGGTATTCTTTACAATCAGAAGGTTGCAGCTGGTTCGATAGCCAATTTTGCCAGCTGAAGACAAAATGAAAATCACTTAAACTGCTCAAACTTTCTCATTTGGAAGGTGTGTTTGATACAAGTGACTGACTATGGCTGTTCAGTGAAATTTCTTATTGTGAGGCTTAGTTGTTTGGCATTACTCAAGTGAAAACTGTGATTTTGTGAAATAGTTTAACCTCTGCCAAATTTGCACAACAAAACAACAGGGTGTTTGGGCAGTAGAGTACCGTTCCACCATATGAATGCATACTGTTGTAAAGTGAGTTGCTTTTATTTTTAAAATGATTAATAACTAGTTTTTTTTTTCTGCGTGGTAAAGATCTACCAGCTGCTGTAAAAACTAATGCTTCAATTTTAATCATTGAATCTACTTGTGGGTTTAGTTGCACACCTTAGGAATATTGTTGTGTATATTTTCCTTGCTCCTTGTACATGTGAAAATTCTTTTAACTGTTTTACACAAACAAATAGATCCACAGCTACTCAACACACTTGTGACCTTAATATCTGTCATTTTAAAAGGAGCTGCATTTATAAAATGTCACCATTTCATAAAATAATTGTGCAATAACAAACTTGTATTTAATGGTCCACATGTGATTATTTTAGCCAGGGATATCGTTTTAGCCAGTTTTCTGCCTGTATAAACAACACAGCGCGTATAATCCTCTTTTATTTAATTTTTACATATTTTTTTAACGAGCCCACTGGTTTATAAGCATTACGGTACATGGACATATGATATTCGTACCCTGTGAACTGCTTTCTTACTCTTTGTCATGTAGCAATCACAAATTTGACAAACAAGGCATAAATGCCTGCCTGAAAGGGCACCTCATGCAACAAAAAGCATTAAGCAGGCCAGAGAAATATGGCAACTCTGGAACAACTGCAGAGGTTTACAACTCTGTTGGAAAACTTATCTGAAACTAGAGCTTCACAATGTATTGAATCATAGTTGTCATCACGGTTTCGACATATGTAATGTCAGAGGCGCAAAGGAGTGCCTGCTTGCAATTTTGTGTAGGGCTATATATTTCAAGATCACACATTTACACTCTGAACATCAGTATAATATTGGCCAGTTGGAAAGATGTTTATCGGCTGATGTTAATTTTAGTCACCAAAAACCCATAGAGAGAAATGGGACTATTGTGATCATAGAAGAAAAAATAAGAGAAGTGTGAGGGAAAAGATGGATGAATCGTGTGAATTTTTAAAATTGTGTTATTGTTTTGGTTAATAAATTACAAGCACATAAAAGAAAGTTGTTTGTGCCAGATGTATTTTCACTGATAATGTCTTGTGCTAAGATATATGTGCTAATTTAGTGTTCTAACTATAGGAATATCTGCAAGATTTATATTGCTGTAAAGTTTGTGGTTCTTTATTCAGTCATAAATGTCAATTACTGTTCTTTGTGTGATGGTTTATATTGTCCCTGAGTTTCTTTTTATTAGACATTTTTATCGACATATCAAATCTCACTGTTTCTTCCCTCAGTTTTGTTTTTGTCTCTTTAGTGCCTGTTGCACAAAAGATAATGAACACGCTCTGTGAAGTCCCTAGACGATTGCGGCTCTATTTGCAAATGGGCTTTGTCTGAATTTCAAGGGCCTTTGTCCATTACAACTCTATTACTGCTGATTCAGACATTTGCATTCTCACTCATGAATTGTTTAGAAAACTTCAGGGCTGCAGTGGATGTGTGAAAACACTTATGTGGCGTTGCTTATTTCTGTCGCTGTTTACAAATGCGGCAGTGAAACTGACTGAATGATAAACATGTTTTCCCTGACTGTATTTGATATGTTGATTATTTTTCACAGGTTTGAATTCTGTGAACCTGTCTTCGTGGTGGGGAATTGCCTTGAAATCTCAACAGACAGCCATCAATACGATCGCATTTATTGTGGCGCTGGAGTGCAGAAGGACCATGAAAATTATATGAAAGTACTGCTCAAAATTGGAGGCATACTGGTGATGCCTATAGAGGATCAGGTAAGTGCTGCAAGCAATGGCACTGATACAGAGTTGACACACACCCCAATTGCTGTTTGAAATTCAAAACATAAGGGAAAACAAGGTAAAATAGCTATGACCTGCAAGACTCATTACGCAACTTTCTCATGCATTATTGAGCCATGACTGCCCCTGGATTTCAACAGCTGTGCTCAGAGCACACGGTGCTGCAAAAACAACATTTTATTTAAAATAGAAGTTGTGGTCATGTCGACACACTCTCGGGCATAAGAAAGTACATGGGATGTTTCGGTATTTGTGTGGTAAGGAACTTTTGGGACCACAAAGGGACTCAAGTACAGCAAAACGTAATTTTGACTCTGGTACATTTTATTATCCAAGGTTCTAGTTTTGTTTAGTCTAGCACTCTGGGTTGTGCAATATACATCCAAGAAGACTGAACCAGTTTCTCAGCTAGTTACCACAATAAGATGTTTTATAACTTGGTCATTAAAAATACTTTCATTTTAAGCAATTTATTGCACCATAGTTAAGGTATTAAAATGTAAAAAAAAAAAATCAGCTGGACAGTCGATATAGTGCTTTGAAGAGGTCTTCTCAGATGCATCAAAATGAGAAGGCAGCTGTTAGCACCATTCCCTCTTTTTCTGTGGCGTGCTAGCACCCCTACAGCTGCAAGCAAAAGAATCTCACCAAGCAGCCAGTAGAACAATCCACACTTTCTCCACCAAGAAAGCAAAACAAAACAACCAATGAAGTAAGGTCATAGCCGAGAGTATTTTGAAAGTTGCTCAGTGGTGCTGTTGATCCGTTTCTTGCGTGGTTTTTGCGACAACTTTAAAATACGTAAGGCTTTATGCATCGGCGAAGTTTGGTGAGTTTTTGATATGATAAAACCCCCAAAAAGCCAATTCATATGCGCCAAGAAAAAAAAAGAAGAAACAGTACGATTACAATAGGCCTTTGCGGGGCTTAGCTGCTTGGAGCTAATTAGAAATTATATTAACATTTTAAAATAACATTTTGCATGCTGTTAACATTTCTTAGGAACTAAAATAAGGAATAATTTGGAAACTACAATGAACTTGGAAAACCGCAATCTGTAATCGTCTGCTTTGTATTCCTAAATAAACAAGACCCACTGGTCACTGAGGAAACAACATATATAACAAACTACATATCTTTGTAGGATCTGAACAGCTGAAAAATGAACAGTCTGTGTCTGTGGTAATGCAAATCTTTTTAAGAACGCGTTGCTCTTTGTTCAGTCTTTTATCAGCACCAAGCTGACATATTTTCTCCCCTGCTTCTTGTCTGGGGCTCTTTCTTTTTAAATTGTTCTTCAAAATGGACAAATGTGAAACCTTCAAAGGACAGGGAAAAGAAGAAGCTTGCAGATCTTTGGAAGAAAGCTAAAACACTGAAGGAAAGTCATCACAGGCTGGTAGATTGCTGCTGGAATAACCAACATCTGTAGTTCCTGCTTCTCATTTTGTCTTTTGTCAGGATGAGGAATCACTTCTGTGGATTTTATTATGAACAGATTTTTTTTTTTTTCGGCTAGTACATATATGAAACACTTCTGAATCCCCATAAAGCATCTGTCATTTTAGCTGAAGCCCTGATTCAGTAACGGTAAACGACATCTATAGTATGATGTGTTTATACAGAAGAAAAATGTGAATTATTAAATGAAGACCTTGTTTCATATGCTTACACTTTGTTTTATGAAACCCTCAACCCTCCGTTCATCTTTAGCAATGAACGGATGGACTTTGACATCTGGCCTCAAGGTGTAAACTCTAATAGCTAATAGAAGATGGGTTGTTCCATCAGTGGCACAGCTGGTAGCTGGAGCTAAGGAGGTAGAGCTTATGAATGTCAACCAGATTGAATTTGTACAAAGGAAGGAATGTGGTGTCGTGTACAGCACCTCCGTAGGTCAGTAAGTCCTATTCACTACAGCTGCAGCTATGAAGTAAACACTTAACTTGTTATTGTCAAAAATAACTCCATTTCTCAATCTAGGTTAATAGTTTTTGAAGAACTGTCACCCAGCAGAAGGTTATTTGATATTAAAGGTCTGAGCTGTCATACATCTGCCTCATCCCGAGAGCCATTTCTGACATATCAATCTAACATTAAATGACAACATTAGACATGTGAGTGGCCAGCTAAAAATAAGCTAGAACCACTGCAGAGCGATGCAACAGTTTTCCTATTAATACTAATTAATGCTGTTTTACAATTTTGTCTTGATTTTTAGCATCGGGGAGAACAAAAACATTTTAAACCTTTCATTTATGTCATAAGTATATTAATGATGATAAAGCAGATGTGTCAGAAAGCTCACGAGTACTAATATAGCTTAGGCACAAAATGTATCAGACTAGAATACATGTGGCAAACATCCGATTGTGATGATAATAATGTTCATAATTTTTTGAAATTTTATTTTTGAATCTGCTTGGAGCACCTTCATTTTTTTTTCTTTTGTTTATTCTTATTTTATATAGACACAGCTTTGTATTTCCTCTGTTTTCTTGAGTACATTTTGAACAGGTGACTAACAAAATTTTGCCCTGAGATTGATAAAGCATCCTAAGAAGTTGGAAAACAGTAACCAAAGTAACGTTGTCTAAATTAATATGTAATATATGAACAGTAGTCAAAGTTTTAAACCGCTGTAATTGTGAAAACTAAGTCTGGACGTTGATCCAATTTCATCTCAACACAACACAGTGTGGAGGTCAGTGTGGGATGTCCACTATTATTAAACCTCTGCACAGCTCACTGTAGAGGACTGCTACAAAAAGCTGCAAAGTCTGCAGAAGAACTACTGGGCATCATATGCATGCCAGTCTGTTATTTGGGCGACAGAAAAAGCATTTTCTCTCCTAACATTATAAACATAAATGGGTAAAATTGGTAAAACACTATTGGAACTTCAGCATCTGTGTGAAGTTCCAACGAGTCTTATATTCCTCGATAAGACTATAACTTTTTTGCTACACACTGTGGAAAATCATCCACCATTGTTAAGAATGGTGTAGATTTTATATCACTGTGAGTTGGTTTTTACCTTCTGTTGAACCTTATTAGAGTGTATAAATTCTTTGAAGTATCAGGATATTTTTAATGAAATGCTGGTGTCCTGATAAAAAAAAACAGGTTGCCATTAGGTTATCCAGCTTGATAGTCCAAATCAGAAATACAGACAAGAAGGTCAGGGTTCAGTTGTCTGACGTAGCAGCAAATATTCAAGGTTATGTTCCTGATGACATAACCTTGAATAACCACACACATGCAGTGGCTTTGAATAGCAATTAAAAATGTTCAGGATTAATAAATTCCAAACATTTATGACATTTATTCATAAATACCCTGGACTAAACATTTCAGACTCAATTTAGTAACAAAGAAATGTTAGAGGGTAAAATTACAACAAATCTACAACCAATTGACTGCATGCATCGTCTTTATAACAATACTTTTGTAACTTTTGCAAATTTTTGCTTTCAGTCTGACTTGGCACTATTTGCACACTCTTTCTAGTGGAAACTTTCTTACGTATATCATGTTGTGTGTTTGTATGGTGTGGAAGTGAATTGTCCTGTCTGATTCTAGATCATGATTTAGGTATCATTTAGCGGGTTTTTTTTTTTTAATTTTTTTCAACAATAATTACATTTTTTGTGTGTATATGCAGCTGACCCAGATAACCAGAACCGGTCAGAGCACGTGGGATAGCAGGAACATCTTGGCGGTGTCCTTTGCCCCCTTGGTCCAGCAGAACCGAGCAGAAGGAGAGAAGCCTGACACTGTCCAGCTGCGTGAGTTTCATTGCCTTGACAAAAAAAAAATCTTGCCTTGAAGTGGAAACTGGCTGTATTTTTTTCTGATTGGAAGCGATGAGTCCTAGAGCAGCGTGATACTGAACTTGTTTTGTCTTATGAGATGTGCTTGCAGCTGCATCATACTCTTCTCTTGAAACACCGCAGCTCAGTTTCCTGTCGCATTCTTACTTGTTTATGCTGCCCTAGTTGAGAAAATGTGGTGTTAGTAGCAGCAGTAGTTGTAGTGTGAAATATTCTTTGTTTTCTGTGATACACTGTCCTGAAGCACTGTCTCATCCCTCTCTGTCCTCAGCTCCAGTGACCGTCCGCAGCCTACAGGACCTATCTCGCATTTACATTCGCCGCACTCTCCGGAACCTGGCGAATCAGGACAGTCAGGAGAAGGGCACGGTTCAAAGGGTTCCCCATAAGCGCAAAAGGAGGCGCTGTCGACGGCGGCGCATCAACACCTACGTTTTTGTGGGCAATCAGCTCATACCCCAAATGGTGGAGAGTGAAGAGGAGGAACACGCAGAGGAGGAACAGAAGGAGGCGGCGGCAGAGGAGGAGGAGGAAAGAGACATTGGTGACATTGAAATCATCAAGCAAGTGAATGAGCTGAGAGAACAAATACTGGCTCTGCCTCTGCCAGAGTCACTGAAAGCGTACTTGCTGTACTACAGAGAGAAATGACTGATCCACTCAATGTCCATCCTTAATGAGTGCTCTGCCTGCTGAAATCCTGTTTTCTTCACACTTTTTTCAGTTCAATGTAGCATTATTATCACTTAATCTCAAAGGCAACACTGTATTGGAACAAGATGACATCATGTCAGATTATAATGTTTTGATTTTCATGGGTGTCCGTTTCTCTTGATATTTTCATTTTTGATCTGTATATAAAAAGATGTAAAAAGTATCCCAAATGGACATTTAGTTTCAGGAATCCGTTTTGAGATACAGATTTTATCAAATCAGAATGTCTGCCGATACATGCAGATAAAAACTATAAATGACAAAAAAAAGATTCTGTTCTTAACATGTTTTGTTAAAATATGATCATACAAAAATTCCACCTTTTGTAGAAGCTTTAACCTGCTGTCACTATACGGGGATTTAATTATACAGAGACTTGCTGAATTGCAAATAAGGCCCCATCTGATCCCATTTTTCAACTAACGATCAAGAACTTCTTGCATACTCATGAATGGAGGGAGAAATAATTGTCTTGATGCATTTTATACCTTCCTGCTACAAAAAAATAGCTCACTGGAAAGATGAAATTGGTTCATATATATATTTTCTACAGGGCACATTTTAATGTGAAGTTTTCTAAAGCATGCTTATATTGTGGGTTCTCACTGCGAAAAGCTGACATGTTATTTGATGCAATGTAAGCTCTCTACTCTTGTCTTTTCTCAAGGATGCATTTAAATAATATATCAGAGGTTTAGCATGGTAAGGTAATGGACTAAAGATGTTTATGGATAGTTAAGTTTCAGAAAGGAAGATGTTTAATTAATATTGATATTATTATTATATATCTCAGGTGTTTCAAGGCACCGTTTCAGATGTTCTGACTGATCGCTGGAGGTGATGTCCCAAGTGATCAAGTTTAGGAATATGTCTGTTTTTTTTTTTTTTAAATCATAGGAATTTAAAGGGCATTTATCATCATTTATTTTTTTCCCCTTTTTAATTATGTTAAGGATTGTAGCTCTGGATAATTATATTAAATTCTATGATTAAACATGAAAAAAAAAATAACGGAAAAAAGCAAAACATACACAAAAAACAGCAAGCATCATGCAGCACAGAATGCAGCCACAAGTTTGATTGATCTCATGTTTGTAACACTGAGCCCACCTTTAACAAAATAAAATAATTCTATAATTAAGAATGTTGGCAGCAGTTAGTTTGAAAACTGCTCCACTTCTGACCAGCATTGTTACTCTTATATCCTCTTCCTGCCAGCAAACTGGCTTATTTTATATTTGTGAGCCATGCAGTGAATGTGCAAGTCTGCCTTTTCTTCACACAAGTAATCTGGATTTTACTTGTGATTGTTTCAGCGCACTATAGTGATGTAGCTGTTAAAATGTTATGCTGAGGATGTCTGTCATATTAACTCTAGAAATCCACCAGAATTTAATTTTCACATGCCGTTTTAACCCTGAAAAGTCACGTCAAGCTAATGCTACCCATGTAGTGAATGGAAAGGAAGTTAAAATACTAATGCACAATCACATTGCGGCTTCCATTCAGAAACTAGATGAACATCCTGAAGAATTGTTTGGCGACAACATTTTGTTTTGTACACTTACAAAGCAAAGAGTGTTTTAAAAGAAAATAATTTTTACTTAAAAACTTCTCTCTCAGCTACTTCTTTGTTGTATGGCTGATCACTGCCTGCTCAAGCTGCATTATCACCCATAGATGAACTTTGTAGCAAAAGTGCTCAATCCATCTTTTGTTGTGCTACTGATGGGTGGTGAGATATTCAACCTATTCCCATTAAAATGTTGGAATTCTATACAGGAAGCATTTCATGTTTACTGTACCACTATACTTGATCAGGCACTGGAGATGCAGGTCATGTGCCATCATGCTTATAATGTTCTCACTTCCGGTTTTACAGAGACACAGCTAAAAAAAAAAAGCTTTATAAATATGGGTTAGTTTTGAAAAACAATGTAAAAGTTGATTAGGATTTATTTTTGCCTCATGCTGTTGATAGCTTTTTTTCTTCCTATTTTGTTTGCTCTATGATATTTGCCCTTTAAAATGATTATTCAGTTCCATGGCCTCGAGGCAAGATGAATTCTGTACAGTGCTGATGTTTTTTTTTTCTTAATTTTTATGTTTTTAATCAAAAACAATGCAAAATCACAATTGTTCAAGATTTTGATGCCTTTTGTATCCTGGACTACAGTTGTGTCCAACAAAGCACCTTAATCTGCAGTCCTCAAGTAAAGAATATATATATATATATATATATATATATATATATATATATATATATATATATATATATATATATATATATAAAGGTACCACTCTAGGCTATAATTGGGGACTGGACTCATTGTGATGTAAATTCACCTTTAATTACAAGGCACCCCAAGTACTTCCCTAATAGCGGTGGCTTTTAAGTGCCAATGTACCCCTGCATCATGTTAGGATTTCTGTGAGCTTCCTGGCGCAGTAAATTATCTAAACAGGTGTTTTTGTACAAAAAAAACAAAAAAAAAAACATTCCAGATTGAAAAACAGAATGAATTTTATAGGTTTTCCTTATGCTTCAATGTCACACAGTTGGACAGTCTCTTTATCTTTCTTTGAATGAAACTTTCGTATTCAAAAAAACTAAGTTGAATGTTGTTGATATGAATTTTCTTCGATATAAAAGTGATATAAGCAGTATATATTGTTGTCATAAGATTTTTTTTTCCCCATCTAGTTTAATTTGCAGTTGACTTGTCGTAGAACACCCCCTTTTGCTGTACTGTATCTTCACACTGGGAACTCCACTGCTGTCTGCTACATAGAAAATATTAGCTCTCAGTTTTAGTCTGATGTACTGAAAAATATTTTTGTTTTGAAAATGAGCTTGATCATGTCTCTTGTAGAGTTTTTGTGTGCGTGGGGAGGTTATTTCTATTTTCAGTATGTTTATTTTAATTTGCTTGGTTTTTAAATGTTCTCGACGGATAGTTTTCAGTTTAACGGTGCAGATTCTTATCTTATAATTACCAATAACAACCAAACAGTCCCATTTGATTTGCACAGCCCCCATTAAAATTCACATGACGTATCTGAGCCGCACAACTGTTTATATACCATAACCTGAAATGTAATTGCTAATTAGTGAGCGACATTGAATGCGGCGGACCTACAGCTGAGACTGTGAGGTCGCCCCTTACACCAAAGTTAATGGGATGGCTGTGATTATATTTAACGTGGACGAGATTCGACTACTAAAACTGCTCTCAGTAAAATAAACAAGCTCATAACTTGCTCGGGATTCTTTATTTTGGATGCTTTTTTTTATTTTTTAGCCAAAATAGTCCTGCTTCCCTTTGTTGGGGGTGATGGGTTGATTGTTCTCAGTGTGTGCAGTTCATTTTGAAAATGTGTTGTTTCATTGTAACTGTGTGGCACAAAAATAAAGGTCACAATCACAGTGCTTGTCTTCCAGTTATTGTAACGGCTTACACTCTTTAACTTTATGTTTGGTGGAAGCTGAATTTCTTCAGACTTGTTAGTGAGATGGATTAGAATCAAAAGAAGAGCCTGATATTTTTTTTTTTCTGGATCTTGATTGCTTGCCGAATATATACAAAAGCGTTTCCCAGTGCTAGCGTATATTGCCTGGTGGGGATACTTTTGTGAAAGGCTTGCAAATAAGAGGACTGTTCATCCAAAGAGCCTCAAACTCGACACTGATCCTTTAAAGTGTTGAGAAATGCACCTGCCAAAATAGTGAAGCAGATCAGACAAACAGTTGTCAAAAATAGTGCTTTTCATCTGCTCAAATGTGAAAAACTGCTGCCTCAGACTGGGGATTTGCTGAATATTAAGTGCATGGAAGAATTGCGCTTGGGTGACTGACAAAAGATAGACGAAGAAAAAGGAAGCAGAGATTTCCTGGTTGTCAGTTGCAAACAGCATCTTTCATTAGATGCTTTTAAATTTTTTATATGTTGAGGTCAGGGGCGGAAGAACCCTGACAAGGTCCTAGGGAATATTTCTCAGAATAAGTTTGGAGAAACTGTGGGAGTTTGTTTTGAAGGATGAATGTTATTTTTTTTAAAAAGGATGCCATAATGGAAGTGTGCATATTTAATTTGATACAACATCTTTACAGTACTTGGCAAAAGTATTTACCGATTAAACCTTTTTTTTTGCCTTTTGCAACATTACAACCCCAAACTTCAATGCATTTAAATTGGTTTTCTTGTTGGTGTTGATATCTTTTTTGACAGACCAACAGAAAGTATTGCATAATTAGTAGAAAGTAATGGTGGTTAATATTTGTTACACAATAAAACTTGAAAGTTTTGCCATATATTTGTTTTTGTAAATATTTAGTAGATCAATTTTAACCGCAATTTTTCTCTCCGCTCTTTTATAGAAAACAGCTCAAGTTCAATCAGACTTTATGTTAAGCATCTACCTATGATGTAGATTCTTAGATGATTCTATGTCAAAGTCAAAGTCTGAACTTTGACCCACTGCAGCTGTGGATGGGTATTTTTTTTGGGATTTGCTGCCTTGCAGGAAGATGAACATCAAGTCTTCTGCAACATCTCTCTGGTTTCCTTCACATATTATCCTGTATTTTGCTCCTTCAGTCTCCCTGTCACCTTTGACCAGCTTTCCTCATCCTGCTGAAGAAAAGACTCACCACCACAGCATGAAGCAGCCACTACCATGTTACACTGTAGGGATGGTGTGTGTCTGAGGGTGTACTCAGACCAGAGTCTACTTTCTACTTTTGAAGCTAACCGAATGCACTTGATTTTATTCATGGTATCATAGCATAAAGGGGTATTTTTACTTCACACTTATGTTGGAATGTGCTTCCAACAAACCACATTAAAATTTATAGTTATGTGAAAAGTGTGGAAAAAGTTCACAAAAAGTGTGGAAAAGGATCAAACGGTATAAATATTTGGCTTGCAAAATATTTAAACCATGGGATACCATAGGATTGTATTTGAGCAAAGTAAATTCACTCATGACTGAGCCGTGATACAAAAGTTCTCATTTATTGATTTATTTCACTGCATATCTGTTATTAAAACATCTGCAAAAAAAAAAAATAATAATAAAATAAAAATAAAGTCAACCTTACCTTCAAGGATCCTGTGTGGCACGGTTATTTCTTATCAAGATTGTTTTTAAAGCACAAAAGCATCACACAGACTTTCTTTGCATAGACTGCACCACCATCGCTTTCCATCAGACGCCTTAACAAGGCTGCACAGCACGAAAAGACTTTGACCCCTTTTAATTTGCTATCCTCCAGAGTTTCTCTTACTCAGGGGCCTCCTCCTCTGTAAATAGGAGGTAAGAGTGTGAATAATTACTTTAATTGACCTGAACTCTTTGTGATTATGATAGTTTAGCTGCCACTCTACAGCATTTACAAACAGTTTGAAACAGAGACAGGTTAAAGGGGTAACTGAAAGCATTTTAAGCTAGAATATTGGATATTTCTGATTTCCTCCCGACCAATTCTCATTAATGCAATATTTACAGGGTAATCTTAAGCAACCATAAAAAAATACACCATGGCCGATTTTATACTTCTAAATGGTTCGAAGAGTAAATGACAAAGAGAGCATCAGTGTATGAGCTTCTTTACCTCTGGCACGCAACAAATATTTAATACCTTAATGCCAAGTAGTAGTGACAGTCCTTCAGGTTATGCTTATAGTTATCCGAGTTTATTCAAATGTCAGTGTTTATTTACATAATTGTTTTGAGAAGAGATATTATAAACAGAAATTGTTTTTTTGTTGTTGTTGTTTGTCCAATTGAGACTACTTATGATGAACCAGATATTCAAAGTCATCTTCTTTATCCACCAACAAAATAAACAGCAATAGACTTTCAGCCAACCTGACCCAAAAACAGATGGTAAATGGTAAATGGACTGAATTTATATAGCGCTTTTTCAATCATTTTGACCACTCAAAGCGCTTTACACTAGAGTCACATTCACCCATTCGCACTCACAAATGCTCACACATTTCGCAGATCGCACATCTACCGATTCGCAGATCGGTAGATGTGTTTATACTTCACAATGCTGAGTGTCAGGCAAGAACAACACAGGAAACAACCTAAAACATACATTTCTCTCACCAACAATGTTGCTTTTTAGTTATATGTGGACTCTAAACTGAGGGAAATAAATCTGACTTTAAATGAGTCTTGAATTACATTGTCCGTTTAAAAACACAAAAACACTTAAAATGAGTGTAATGTCACTCATTTAAGCCTTGACTATAATCCAGTCAAGGCTTTTTTTTTCTTTGAACAAGTTTACATGTTTTAGAAAAAAGTGCTTTTTCATATTTTTAACTCCAGAGGCTAGATGCATAAATCATGTGTACACACACGCATGCATATGCACACACACACACACACACACACACACAGAAAAAACATACATATGCCTTCAACTATTTATGCTATGGGAATATTGAGCCCCATTTTTCAGACCATTTATTTAGCGAGTGATTTCAGTCAAATAGAATGAAGCAAAATTTGAAAAATGTGGAGATAATTTATCATGATTGTAAAAGGTTTTACTAGAACATAAATGAGAACTAACTATTTGAATACCATACTGTACTCAATGTATATATCCCAAATAGAGGGTTTCCTGTCAGGCTATATATTTATAGTACAAAAAAGGAGTTCTTTCATAATTATTGAGATTTTTGCAATGAAACTGAGAAAAGTCCTGCTCAGAAAATGTTATCTAGTGATAATGGGTTATTTGCCTCAATATTTGAAAACAAGACATTTTATGTAATCATATGAATTTAACAATGATATTATGTTCAGTACATTTAGTTGTTTTGGCATAAAAATATTTACTTTCTTGAGATAACTTTAAATAAGTTTGGAATCTTGAAACAAAAGCAAACAAAGAATATAAAACGGACAGATTTCTAAATGTGAAAATGACCCATTAAAGATCATCGAACTACTGTGGCACCAAACTGAAGTGTCATGACAATGACAGTGAACAATGAAACTGTGCCTTCTTTAATGGTTATGGTGCAAAATAATCATTTGCACCATAATCAATAGGTCAGTTCGCTCAAGATAAAAGAATATTCAGCCTGCAATCGAAAGAAAATCACATTTAAATTAATAATAAAAGCAATTAAACTCATTATTCAAAGAAAATGGATGTTGTTTTTGAGGGACAAAGAAATAAAAATGGCTTGCTTTCTTAAGACGAACGAATATTCAACTTGTGACCTTGGGAAAAAAAAAAATCACATCCAAATTAGCTCGCAGACTAAGATAAGGCTGTTATCCCAAGAGAAAATCCCACCTTACTATCCCCAGATAAAAAATAAAGAGTCAGTTTGTGATGTTAAGAAAATCCCATGCTAATTAATAATCTTAAGTAAATTTGTACTTAGCTTCCAATGCAAATGAAGGATTTGGTAGTCTACAGAAAGTAATTCATATGCTTTTATGAGTACAAACCATAGAGCCATGAGTGTGCACATCTTTATGCATCAAGCCCAAGATTTTCAGTGAAGTTTCACAGAAAAAAGACAAACTACTGAGGGAAATTACCAGCAATCTCTGTTTGATATGATAATCATGTGGTTGTCTGAGGCTTGAAAGAAAGACAAAAACCCATTTCATGTCCATCGAGTCGCTCTCAGAAGGTTTTCAAAGAAGAGGTTCAAAGTCAGGTCCAAAGTAATTCCTGAAGTCTTCAGAGATATCAAGTGTAATACTCACAAAGAGGTCTTTATTCTACTAACGCGTCCAGCTATCTGCGACACACTTATAGCCTTGATCCTCGTTCAGCTGTCCGTCGTCTGAGGCGATTCTGGTCTTTTAAAAGAGGTCCGGAGACAGCAGCACCTGTCAAGTGGTGTATTTCAGTTTTGGAGTCTGTGAGTTGCAAGAGAGGCTGGACAGAGAAGGAATCCCAGCAGTCGTAGCGCTGCCTTGGCTCTCCACAAACACTGGGTCCAGACAAGCAACTTTGGCAGCAAAGAAAGCGTGAATACAGTGAAGAACAGCAAAGAGGTTTGAGAACTCCAGCTCCTAAACGAAAGCAGAAAATCAAACATTTACAGATAAAAACAGATATTTACACACACTGTGTAAAAGACCCCAAATACTTTTTTGCTTCAGTAAAATGAAATTCAATCACTTTCTTTCTCACTTTTTTTATTTTATTTTTTTTATTTTTAGGTCAGCGAGGAACATTAAAATTATTTTCCAAGTGCTCAGTGTCTGAATAATAATAAAGACATCCAAAATTTCTCACAATAGTTTGGTGGAGATTTGGACCATTCCTGCTGACAAAGCTGATGTGACTAAGTGAAGTTCGTAGTCCGTCTCACTCATAAGCAACTTTTCTGCCTACAAATCTTTAATGGGGCTGAGCATGCTCCCATTTAGGGTTTTGTGGTGACCACTTTACAAAACCCTTTGTTCAATCATCTGATTATTCTATCAGTAATTTTAATGTATATAAATGCCAAGTTTTTAAAAAGTCATCAATAAATTATCTGAAAATTGTATTATATTATTATATATTTAGGAATAAAATTAATTATTTTGGTAAACTTAAAACAATCTAAAATGGGAAAAACATTTTCTCTGATTTAGTGGAAACAAGGGGAAAAACAGAATATATACCTTTTTAAATAAACTAAACACTAGTTTGTTTAAAAATAAACCATTAGTATCATGATTCAATTTGTACAATTTTGTAAAATCAGACTCACCTTTGCTTCAATAGACTTGGATTCTGTATTTTGGAATAAAAATTTGATCTTGCTTTTTCCATCATCAGAGGATCCTTTTAGCTGGGAGAATTTGTATCTCCACAGTACTGCCTGAAATGACAAGAAAAAGAAAACTAAATCTCCATATTCACTACAATTCAATTACAGGATTTCTTCTCGAGTCACTTTTTTCATAAATTATAAATAATAAAATCTTCAAGGAGTTGATTGGAAATGAGGCACATCAGCAGATTAGTCAAGTACAATCCATTGTGAGAGATGAATGTGCTGTTGCTGCCAGTGGAGAAAATGTGAGAATTCGCAGCACAATTTAATAAGAAGTAGCGCTTCGGTGACTCAATTAGTGCTAAAATCAGTAAACAAAAGCTTCCCAGTTAGTCAGTTTTCAGGCTCCTCAGGTGGACAGTGAGCTGTGCTTTCCACATGACTATGTCACAGTGTGCACACGCTGTTAGACAGTGAAAACTGCTTCTGGGACTGTAGGAACAACTTTAACAATTTGGTTAAATGCGGTGTGAAAAATCATGCTTTAACGCGACATGTGCATCAGATGTTTTTTTGAAACCGGCTTTCTTGTAAAAATCTACAGCGGGTAATAGCCAAGCATAATCAGAGTGCAGCAGAAGTGTCACCTCATCTATTTTGCCTTTGAAATTCATGCATGCTAATCTTGTCAGAGGTAATGATAGAGTATTATCTTGTCCTCAATGCCAATCACAGGAACTTTATCAGGAAGATTTAGAAGGTGACACTCTAAAATGCTAGACATCTGCAGCACTGAACTTATTGCAGCAATGGAAGTACAGCTTTGAACTATGGTATGGCTTATCATTATCTTTATTTTATGCTACACAGTAATTTTTCAAAGTCTGTTAGCTGCTATTTTTTATGCATGTAAGAGGAATCTTGAATGCAAGTTCAACATGTTTTCATAGGATTCTTTTTAATGTTGTTGCTTATATGTACAGTTCTTCTGTTGAAATAGTGTATATATAGACAACAGATCATATTTATACTTTCCAAAAACATTATAAATTTTCTTGAAGATTCCTGGTTTGAAAATACCAGGACAAGAAAGGAAAATAATCAATGTCATCCCAGTATCTGCCACCAATATTGGATTATTTAGCAGGAACTTCTTTGCAGTACTGCATCACTTTTTAATAACAACAATAAAGCCCTCATATTATACTTGAATATTTTTAAATTAGTTTTAGATCAAGTGAAGCCAGGACAGCCTTCCCCACACAGCACATTTCATTTTCCGGGAAATTTTAAATGCTAACTAAAAGCCACTTCCCCACTGTTTTTGATATTACCCTCTTGAAGACCCCTGTAGCGACACCACTTTTCTCTATTAAAAAACAAGTCGCACAATTTTTTAAGGTTTCCAAAAGTGAGAAATTCATACTAAAATAGAGCCCACTTTTTGAAAAGTCTTATTTGTGTTGCAGTAGAGCTTTAAAGCTTCACCATGAAAACTACAGTGTTTTTTCTTTAAGTAGAAGCTGAAATCTATTTATTTCTCACAAATATCTGTACTGGTGATTTTCAAAACAACACTCAGGGTTTTGCCCTGATGTTTTAAAAAGGTTTTAGTACAATGTTATCACATGAAACAGGAGGGAGGCTGGTATTGAGGCTGTACTCAAGACACTGTTAAACAGGACACTTTTTTTCATCCTTCAGGCACAGGCTTCACTTGAACCACTGTAATACTGACTGCCACAAGAGATCCTTTCTGCCCACAGCCATCAATATCTACGACTCTTTGAAGAAAATTGTGTAATATGAGTTATAGTATTTCATTTTGCTCTGTGATTAATAAAATATTTGCAAAAGAAATTCTGTGCACTTCCAATGATCTGGAAAGAAGAATAAATATATAAAACCAAAACCAAACAATTCAATCAGAATGGAAATTTGAGAATAATGAGCAGAATAACATATCAAAAAGTAAAGAGAGTCCCAGTGAAAGGCAAGGTTTATAAAATCAAAATTTACAAATAATTGAAAAAAAAAATCTATTGAATAGGTATCAAAATGTATTATGGCAGCAAATAGTGCAAGACATTATGATAAGCAGGATTAAATCTGTCATTCTGCACTTCTCATGGTTTACCTAATCACATCACTGAGTCATGTTTAAACTTATGTTGTTTAAACATGATGCACATTGAATGTATATAATGTAGAGTATTTCACCAGATTATGCAACTACAAACAGATGTCCTTGTCACGGAGGAACAGAAAGTCGTATTGTATCTTCACTCAAAATTTAAACCTGCTTAGGTGTGACTTTTGACCCGAGACAAAAGAAAATGGAAGTAATGTTATGAGTTTAAATGAGAGGACTTGATATTTCTCGCTTTCCTCTTGCTTGGTATAAAATTCTCCGGTTGGTCTGGAAATGTTAAGACACAATTTAAACAATGGTTAAAATAATCTTTCATTGTTTCTCCGTTTTACTGTGTCACACAGTTTGGCATCAGAAGGCCCAAAAAGCATAAATCATATGAGATGATGCCTCAGAGACATGTTACGTTTTAAATCAAAACCATAAAATCAAATAATAATTAAGTAGATTACAAACAGACAATACTGAAGGAAAAAGATACAACTGCAATCTTCACCCCACACTTTGATGTGCTTGGCTGATCACCGGCTTGGCAGGCTCTGCTTCCCCAAGGAAAAGAACACACATTTGATTGGCAGAAACAAATTCATTACTGCGTGAGATCACATTCACCTTAGAATCTATCTATCTTTACAGGCTCCAAGCTATCCATTTGAAGCCAACAGAAAGACTAAGATCAGTCAGCATCCTATAGTAGCAGCTAGTTGCCAGCTGAATCAACAATGTTAGTTTGTATTTGCAGAGTGACTGTGAGCAGGGTCTGCAAATATAATGTAGGTATTCTCAAGCTCTAGAAAACCAAGAAAAGAAAATAAACATCCATGACTGAGAAATTTGCATTTGAAATTATAGGATGAGAGGAGCAGGGACCTTGTGTAGTTATCCCTAAATCCTCTGGTCAGCTCAGGTTCTGCTATTAGTTTTGACACGCTTCACGCTTTCCAAAAGGTGTAATACATCAAGGGTTTACCTTGGTTGGTTTAAACATTTAACTAGGTGAAACCAGAAATTTACAAACAAAAACTGTCATGTCTGAAGTTAAATCAGAGTAAAAAATATTTCTATTTGCTAAAAAGACTGAAAAGATCTCAGAACTTTATTTATTAATATCTTTAAAATGAGATATTTACATACTGTCATAAACCTGAGTTATCTCTGTGTTGTGTGTCTTATTTAGAATCCCTCCTTTATTTCTGCGTCTTAAATCTCACCATTTCGGTTTTCTCTCTCTAAGTTCTTTTCTGTCTGTATTTTCATTTGTACATTTAGATTGAGGCTCCTTAAATGACTGTTTCTTATTGTTAACTGTTTATGATAGTTTCAGGATTTTCCCCCTTAAGTTTTATGGTCTCCCATTTCTCCTGCTCTTTTTATCTTTCTCCCTCAGCGTGCCAGCTTGCCTCTCAGCACAGATGTTCTCAATCACCTCGTTCTCCTCTGCGTGCTTTCTCCCTCAGCTGTTCTCATTTCCATCTGATTAGGCTTTTGGGTTGCATTGTCATTTCTACCTTTGCCTCAGTTGCTTCCCATCCTTGTTGTTTTGCCGTTGCTTTCTATTGTTCAGGGTTGCTCATCTGTGGCATGTATCTGGTTCCCTGAAGACTGTCTCTGTAAGTGTTTTTGTTTTTTAATGAGCATGCATATTATGACAATGCCCAGTTTTTGTCTGCAATTTTGTCCAACCTCGACAACATCAAGCATACTACATTTCCTCAACATTTTGTAGCGTTGCCTTCGAACTAATATGATTTGGGGCAAATGTTTTGGATTTTTTTTCCACAAGTTTCTCACAGTAGTCTGATGTTTTTAGATGTTCCATTAATATTTACACATAATGTTATTTCCTCATGTCATCTATTTTATTAAATTAACTAGATTCTCCTGAAGCAAAACAGGATGATTCTGCTGCCATATGTCACAGTTGGGGAGGGTGTTTCTTGACTTATAAATGTCCACTTTTTTTCTCCAAATGTAACTGCTCATTATAGCCATTAAGTTTTGTCTGATTTTAACTTCATTCAGTATATGTGAACCTCTAGTTTCAACTGTATGAACAATAAAACACTTATTTTTAAGTGTGAAGCATCAAATGCAGATATTTTGCGCCCTAGTGTTTTCTTATGTCTAAAGAGTGTGCAGTGTCCCAATGGAAGACGAGAAGTAAACTAGATCTCAATTACAAATGTAATCTGTGATGCCTACCACTGGGAAATTTATATTCATCATAAAATTGTAAAGAAAAAAAATGTGGATTTTATTTTGTTTACTAATCATAAAATAATTATAAAAAAATATGCTAGACAATTATACCAGAAGTAGCCACTTCAATATTAGAACAAAAACTTCCATTGGAAACACTGTATGCTACTTCATAGAAGAAAAGTCAAGCCAGAAAAAACGACACTTAAGAAATTTACTACCCTGCTAATACTCTGCTAGGGAACATTTCATTCTGATATTAATGTGGCTGTGTCTAACTCTTAACACAATGCACTACAATAAATGTTGAAGAGCTCCAGGAGGTCTACAAGAGTACAACTAATTAGACGCAGTCTAAGGACCCCCCCCCAAGTCCCCGTCACATTTACTATCCATGGGTCTCACCAGAGGAGAGCAGAACCACAGAAGGGCCACCCTGAAGACAAGGATCTACTGCTCTCATCTCACTGCCAGACACCCCCAGATTCCCAAGTCTGTCAAAATGACTTAAGCAATATGATGCTATATTACACTATTTTAGCAGGAGGTTATTACTTTTTATAGTAAGCATTGATTCTTTTCATATTTTTTAAGCAAACAGCTGTCAAGGTTTTGTTAAAGTAGCCTAAGACTGATTGAATAATTTTTGATGTCAGTCTTCTCATGTTGAGCACTATGCAGATTTTAGCAATGCATTTTTTTTTTAATTTGTACAACATTTAAAATGTACTCACAGGGATATACAGTCATCTATCTTACTAGTTACATCTTGCTATGACCAGATGGGAATTCTTTTGTCTTGAGAACTGCCTTAATTCTCAAGGGTGTAGATTCAACAAGGTGTTTTCTAACATTGCTGGGATTTTGCACTATGTTGACATGCTGGCATCATACAGATGCAATAGGTTTACACAAGTCTCCTTTCTACCACTCTCCAAAGGCATCCTCCTTGGTTGAGATCTGGTTACTGTGAAGGCCATTGGAGTACATTACACTCATTGTCATGTTCAAGAATTTATATCCACAAGGAGTCCCTGACACATGCAAGTGTGTTATCAGGAGCTAGAGGTGAGTTTATTGAAGACCAACTCTATGTAATGGGTCAGGAATATATGAGAATAAATAATAAAGCCATGGATTATTGTGTCAGTTTGTTGTCTGAACATAGCATTTCTTAGTCAACCAGATGGCACATAATTTCAAATTCCTGCTGCCTGCTGAAACTCTAGCATGGGTAAAATAAATAAATAGTTATCTTGCCTAACTTCGCAAAATTCAAACTTGAAGTCGGTATTGTCTGAGTACAATGCCACAGTTTATCACATAACTTCATTGAGCTGTTCTGGTTTACATATTTTATGTCCTAATATATGCAACACAGTAGTAAGTACCATATGCATGCATTGATTCATCTTCCCACTCACTGTGTGTTCATCTTTTAAAGGTCAGAGATGAGCTTACTTGTGTGTGAGCACAGAAGAGAACCGCAGACATGAGAGAAAAAACTCCAAACAAAAGCACTGGCAGATAGATGGTGATGGAGATTAACCATAAATATTTTATCAAGTCTTTGCTTTGTATGTTGTCCATGTGGAAACAGTACTGCAGAGATAGAATAAGATCTGACTGTATTTTGAACCCGCAGATTACAGATCTGTTTGTCAAGCAGTTACATTTTGGTTGGTTTCTGTCAAAGCAGCATGCTTGTCAAATTTGCCAAAAGCAGTTTTCAATTATGGAATAATCCCACTCACATTGTCTGCTACTGCAGTTTACATATGGATTGTGCTTGGTGAATTTCTCTTCATAAACAATGCTCTGGCAACATTATTGTCATGCTTGGGGGACATTGTTGCCACCTACTGCTGGAATTAGGGCCAAAATCGTAGAGAACAATATGGCAGTGTTTGTGTCCCCCTCATCAACATAATGTGCACCAGTGGAGTTGTATGCATGCCTGTGAGACTTGGGGAAAGGCCAAAATGAACTGTACGCTGCATTAAGAGGTTTTAGCTGAGAGGGGTTCAGCCGTCAAAACAAATGAACTCACAACTCCTGAAACACACAGTGAGCAGAATAAGTTAGCAGCAGCACAAAAAAAGTCAGCTGAGGCGTCATGATTTGTTCCATCCAACTGTATACAACATGCGCTGAGGAGAGCACTCCTCCATATTTGAATGGACAACAGAGGATTCCCCTGCCCTAACATAGAAGTTGGCCAACTGTATGACCAGATACTCACCGCTCAGAAGAGGCAGAATCTAAAATTTCACACTTTTCGTTTTCAATCAGTGAACGCTAGCTCGGTAAGCGCTACTGGGTCATGTTAATTTTAACAATCACCAGTGTGGAAGGTTTTGCTGTGAGAACAAAACTTGGTTATTTTGAAAATCACAGAGGTTTCTGGTAAATTTGGAAATATTTGCTTTCTTTTGGAAAAGGTCCAATAGCTCTACATGTAATACAGAGAGTTGTAGAGCTCACCACATGCAAAGCATACCAGTAATGTTCGTTGTTAAGAGAAGAAGCTAAGACGATTTAAAATGTAAACTCTGACCATTTTGTCCTTGTCTAAAAAACTTTGCAAACTTCTGTTGAACCGTAGAGCTGTGTAACACTGACTGCTCCCCATTTCCCACACATAGCATGAGGTTTCCTCCAGTCCTAATTCATCACAATAGAATGCTTGTAGGTCATTTATAGTTAAAAAAAAATTTTAAATAATCTCAGACATCATAGCTTACTTGCGTAAGACAAGTTATTTCCTAATCGTATAGAAAAAAAATCGCAAGTGTGCACCACTTTTTTCATTCTGAGGCATGCACAAAAAAAATTACATATGGTGTAATCTGTCGTGGAAATTATATATACTTAAATACTTTTTACAGCAACAGCTCAATAATGAATAAATTATTTTACCAAAAACATTTTAATGTGAAGACTTTTTAGTTTGTGCAAAAACTGGACAGCAAAAGTTTGTAGAACTGCAATAAATGGTTAATATCGGCATCAGCAGGTCAGAACTTGACAAAACTGTTGATATGAAAAATGTGTACATAAATCCAACTTTGCAATGCTGAAAAATGAACCGATAAATGGAGATGCTGAAGGCTTAACAGAGGGTTGTCATGAACTTGCCTTTGAAGCAGCATCGAAGCACACAAATCCCATGCTGAAGTCAACTGTAAGTCCCATGAGGTGGCTCTCCATTATGCAAGCATATGTTTTACACTGCAGAACAGCAAGATACGATGTTACAACAGTTACAGATGTCTCGAGAGTGTTATCAGTTTTTTGTGCTAAAACAACTGTGCTGAAACAGCCTGAGGCTGTTGTATAAAAACCAGACCTGTATCCTCTCCACCTCCAGAAACGTGGCCATCTGAAAAGCCTTTTCCCAGATCAGCAGTTCACACTCCAGCTCTACGCTGAAGAACATGTCCTCCCCACTCTCTGTCTGAACACTGAAGCAGTGTCTCCTTTTGTCCAAAAGGTCACCGTCCTAAGATAACACAGAGCAAGCTGACAGATAAGACAGCAGCACAGTTCCTTGACAGGCATTACTAATTTAAATAATCATAATTTAATGTGTCGTCTCACAGCTTTCTATAAACTAAAATGCAATTTAAGTTCAGCCTACAGGTAATTGCATTTGTGAATCCATATCAAGCTATTCAAAATCCGTTTTTAGATAATGAATGGCAGATAAATTCTCACCATCAAATTCAAAGTGACCTGAAACCTGCATAGAATAATAACTACAAGCCTTGAGTCTGTCTGTGGAGAAGAATACATGCAAATGTACTGTATAAGTGAGTCATATAAGAGCATCCCTCAGATTCACTTCTGCTGCTTAATATTCTGGTTTACTTTGTTTGAGATCCGCTGCTCTAAATGCTTGGGGAATTGAGTGAAAAATAAAGACTGATACCTTTAAAATTTTGCACATTATTTCATACACGGTAAAGCTTTTCTCTGCTCTGGTCCAGTCCCACGTTGTCACCTGAAAACAGCACATGAATGTTGTTTGATTTATGAAAATCTCAGTGGAGAGGAATAAAAAGATCAGTAGCTGTGCCTAAGAGGAAACACGGCATGTTCTTTTTTTTTTTCAATGGGAATTGCTTGGGAATACTTTTTACATACAGAAAAAACTATTTACAGAACAATGCACAGAGCTTTTGCTAGTAACGTCAAATCCAAAGGACTGGAACATTTACCATATGTCCTTGCTGATTGATTGATGTACCCAGTAACTTGCGAATAGAATTTTTCCCATTTTCAATTTATTTGATTGAGATTTTATGATACAAGTAATGCATTTTTGTGAAGCAGAAGGAAAATTATACTAATCTTAAATCTAAACATAGTTTCGCAGGGTGAGCCTGTGAAAAGCAATTTTCATTGTAAGTTCAGGGTGGTGTGCCATGTTAGTTATTCACCACATAATATTTTGAATGTAGGCCACATAGTTCATTTATAATGTTGTCTGACAAGGAACCTTGTTCGATGTCTCAGCTGTGTTCTCTACATGGGTTGGGGAAAATTGTTAATGGGACATCATATGGCTTTCTTTCAATAATGGCTTGCTTTTTTCAAAATAACTGCACTATTAATAGCAGTAATGGATTTCTGTAGTTTCTTCAGAGTTACCAAGGCCTTTTTATTTACATGCACACAAGTAGAGCGTATGGGATTTAAGGATGTCATTCTAAAGGGGGTCTGACTCGACTCTATGCTTTTCAGATTTGTATTTTCCTTCTACTTCACCAGTATATGAATCCCGATAAAAATTTATGGTTGTAATGTGACAAAACCGAAAAAAGTCAACAGGTTATAAATATTTTTCAAACCCATTGCAACCTTTCAAATTCCAGTTACATCCTTCCACATGAAGGAAGCCAACATCCCAGATAACTAGTTTGGATTAATAACAAAGCATGTCCTGACTTTTGAACGTGCAAGCTCTCATGTTCCCTCATCCTCTCACATTAGCATATTCCATTTATATCAGCACAGTCACCATCAGCAGGCAATTTCAGTTATCTATCAATCTCTTGCCATCAACAGGCGCATTGACAGCTTATCCCTCTCATCATAATAACCCAAATAGCTGCCAGAATGTAAACACATTAAATGATCATCATCAATCAAGACAAAGATCAATGCACCACAAATGATTATAAGTGAGCTGCTTCCTGTTTCTTAAGCAGGAACGCATGCCCCCTCCCTTTCCTCAACAATAGATTAGCATTAAATGAAAATTCAATATTCCTCCCTGAAGAGCAGCAGAAAGAAACAGGAGTTTGATCTGATGAAACAGAAATTAAAGTGACACAAGAGAATGCTTACGGGAGGAGCTGTGAACTTGAAGAGGGAGGAACCCCTCAGAGCGAGGAACTTTGGTGAGTACATCCTGTCCTGAACAGAGTCCTGCTCCTTCTCATCGACCCAGCCCATGTAGATAATCTGTCACATAAAGTCAACAGCATTGTACTTTATAAAGTAAAATAAAATTCAACTGGAATTAAACATGACCTTAAAGGTGTTAAATTTTATATTTTAGCCATGAAATAAGAAAGATGAAATAACTATGTTCACCTAATAATCAAAAGAACTTTTCAACCATGAATATTTAGTACTAAATCCAGCTTTGCAAAGTTGTGAAGTGCCTGGAAAATGAAGGATTTTGCAACGGTAGAAACTATTTTTGAACTTCCTTTGTCTTTATGAGCCTATAGAAAAGAGTTCTTGTGTAAAGATTCCAATTTTTATCTCAGAAAACAGAAATCTACTTATATTCTGGCAAGTGCAAATTTTGGCACAATCTTCGAACTCCAAACTGACTCAGCAGTGACAAGTTAGTATCTGTACTTTTTTCAGAAATTGCTCAGAAGACGGACAACTAACTATTTGATTTGTTTTGGTTTTAGAAAAGACTGATTATTATTATCCCCATTATTCTAGACAGACCAAGATGAGATTTGTCAAACATTTAATCTTTTAGAGAGAGTGCGTAAGACTGGCTGTATAAAAAAGTGAAGGTCAGTGGGTGATATTAATGACACAGTGGAGAATGAGTTTCAAAACTCTAGTCGTAAAATGAATAAAACTGCAGGAAAAGACCTTTTAAAAGTTTTCAGAAAAATATTTAAAAAAGCTATTTCTGCAGAGAAATAAAGACACCTCAGCATGACTCGCACATAAAATGGTTGAAATCTATGCATTTTCAACATTTGCTTTGTTTAGACCCCCAACATTTCACTTGGTGTGGTCCTCACACCAAATGACAAAATGAACTTTATTATTCCAGATAATATGTTAGGTGATGATCAATGTTTCAGGCTTCAGCACATATGATTTAAATTAAAGTCTGATTAGCAGGCTTGTACTGAACTGTAATTCTCTGAATGTGTGTAAAAGCAGGGAAACATCTAAAACATGTTTCCCTGCTTATCCAGAGGGATATTCTGAATAGGGATATTTCTATCCAGATAGGAATCCGGGTAGAAATATCCCTATCCAGATGGACTTTAGGCAAATATCCAATTGATAAATTCTGATAGCATCTAAAAATGTGCTGCATCATCTTGATGGTCCAACAAGAAAGAAAATGCACCAAATCTCTAAGTAAAATTACAGTTCTTTATAAGAATTATAAACTTTGGCACCTTTACTGTCATTTCTCCCTGATGGTTAATACCTGGGATTGAAAGATGCTTTTTTTTCCCCTGATAGATTTCTTCAGTTTTCAAAAGACAAGGCACATAGTTTCATTTGCTGTATGTTGCATATGCCAAGCCAAGTGTGAAAAAGTCCTGATGATTCCCAGACTTTTGGGGAAAGTATTGTAGACTGACATTAAATTTGGATGTGATCTCTCTATGGGTTTTCAGCTTGAAGTTGGTATTTGTTTGAGGTGAAGTCTCCGTAACATGTGAACAGGCTGTCAAAAGTCCAGTCACCCTGTTTGAAATAGACCTGCAAGCGACTAAACAAGCCTAAACGCTTTCATATCCAGTTCCTCCTACTCCTCATTAGCAAACGTATACCCAAGGCTTTCATCTGACAACATGACAAAAACATTCTGAGTTTCAGTTTGGGGCTGGAAAAAAAAAAAAAAAAGATCCCAAGCTGCTTCTCTGATTCATTGATTCATTTTTTTTTTTTTTTTTTCACAAAGCCCTCAAATCAAGGACTGGTTTTATTCACAGTTAATTAAAAATGTGTGAGAAAAGTCAAAGAATTTTAGCTTTAACAAAAATTATTCTCACACAACTATGTCATACTTATTTCTTCATCTAAAAACATGGGATAGAAAAAATGTTAAGATTTTCAAAAATAGGGAGGTTAGGACGTGTCAATATTCTTCAGAAGAAGGAGAAATCTGTTTTAAATATAAAGTATATTTGAAACATCTTTTTAGGTTTCATCAAGGTTTATTTTTAAATAATTTAAGGTTGAAATCTTCTCACAGTCATATATAGGAAATGTTATATACAAATGTGTAGAAGGATGATGATGTCTTGATCAAGGTGTTAAAAAGTCTTGAAAGAAATGCTTTTCTAAACTGCAGCAGCATAATCTTCCACTGAATGTTTCCAGAAAAAAATACAAACTATATTTTGAGCCTTTTTACTCATTTTGGGGAGAAAAAACTGCATGGCACAAAATAATTGTTTTGAATAAAATCAGCAAAGTCAGTTGTTGGTTCCTCTGGTCTTAAAAACTCTGTAAAAACTTTACACTGAGGCAGGAATCTTTGACTATTCCTTTCAGTTAATTCTCTAAAAATCATCCAGAGTTTGGAGTTCACGTTAGGCTTTTTATTATGCTTTCGCTCAGTGACCTAAAATTCTGATGGATTGTTGCATTTCTTTCCTGGTGAAGACAGAGGAGTCTATTATCTTTCTCAATGTACAAACCAAGAGGAACATAACACTGATCTGGAGAACTCCAGAATAAACGAATAAACTAACTACTAGGAAATGAAGTCATATAACAACAGCCCCACCAGACAATAATGAATAAAGGTATGAACAGACAAGAATAGGGCAAGACCTTTTCCTGTTTTACAAAACAACAAAATGAAAAGATTTGTGACACTGTGTAACTTTCCATTGTGAATTATAATCTTAAATTTGCATGGCTGCTATTTTTTATTGTTGTGAGGCAGAAGCTGCAGTAAATAAGCAGAAAGCCCTTGATGCATGTTTGATTTTCTCCATTTAGACTGAAGGTTGACATGATGAGTTAACTGACTGAAAGCACTTAAGTTGTTTTCAGATCATCCCCCAGTGGATGGACTTAAATGATGCAAGCACTTCACATGTGGTGTAATAGCTGGCAATGCAGGCCTGTGTAACTTCTGTGACTTACAGAAAGGCTCAGAATTGACTCCGTTTTTATGTTGGCTAAAGCACAAACATTAAGGATATGTAAAATAAAGTATGTTGAATAATTAATAGAAGAGCTCACCTGCTGGTTTACTGGAAAATTCCTGTTAATTTTCTTCACCTGCAAAATTTAACAGGAGCATCAATACCCACAGTAACATATGTCATAAACATTTTAAAGACCCTATGTGCCTCATAGTTACAGTGGCAAAGTAAGTAAACATTTCAGTTGCAACATATTAACCACACATATTGAAGGAGAACTCAATTAATTCAAAGCATGCAAATTTCAAAACGAGATAGATCCAGCCATTTCCATGAAGTCCAGAGGCTCTTCCTAAAAAAAATCCATTTAAAAAAATCAATTCTCTCTCTGGTAATAAAAGCAGAGAGAGCAGTCAGGCTTCAAATTAAAACCCTGTGTTCAGGTCACAGGTATCACTCACAACTAATCCACAGCTACACCATCAATATAACTCTTTCTTAGAAGCAGAGCACCAAATTAAGATGTCCATTCCCAAGTCCATCCTCCTACAGAGAGCAGAACAAGCCAGAGGAGTGAGCAATTGTTAAAGATACTGAAGTTTTTTGGGGAGCGGAGAGAAGAAAAGCTATGTTTTTATTTCAGCAGAGAAACTGTGAAGGGGGAGGGGGGAAAGACTGATGTGAGCTGGGTGCGAATTTATGGGAACAGTGACAGCAGGTTTTCTCAGATTCAGCTCTAGGGTCTTTATGCTGCAGGTTTGTGAAGCTTTAACTCAAATCAGGAGAGATTTATTAGTTCACTTCTAAACTTCTAAACTCAAAATCAATAATCCACCTCTTCTAAAAGTATAGACAGGAAATCATATCTGAAATATTTTGGCCTCTGCAAGAATGGAAAGAGAAACAAATGTGTGATCAATTTATTTAATCTGTTACTGGTAACAAATTGTGTTGGTTCTTAGTCTATTTGGTTAATAATTATTATTTAAATGTTCCTGATTATGTTTTTTCCTGAATTTGTCTTAGTTTATGACTTCTTATTATTGAACATTTACCACATTCAGATCAAAATAGATACAAAATTAATATTTCCCACGCATTTAATTCCATTTTAAGAAATTTCACAAGGAACCATGTTTTTAAAAACTACACCAAAGAACTTAAATCCTATAAATGACAATACATAAGAACCATGCTGATTTTAGAATTGTCTACTTGTCATTGTATCATGCGGCAGTTGTGCAGAAAAACTGGGACTTCCAAATCATCTTGCAAACTTTTTTTATGGCTATAATCTATTTTTGGAGGGATTTTATTATACCTAAGTCAAAATACACAACAAATAATAACAATTTGACACACTCACACTGTTACTAAATCTAAATTGAGTTTTATTGATTTTATACAAAAGTCTGACTAAAAGCCTGAATGTAGCATTCTAATTTAATGCACTTGTTTCTTAGGTTGCACAGTGGTGCAGCTGGTAGCACTGTTGCCTTGCAGCAAGAATGTCCTCGGTCCGATTCCCGGCCCGGGGTCTTTCTGCATGGAGTTCGCATGTGGGTTCTCTCCGGGTACTCGGGCTTCCACCCACAGTCCAAAAACATGACTGTCAGGTAAACTGGTCTCTCTACACCAAGGTCTGAGTGTGTGTGTGAATGGTTTGACAAACGTTCACTGCCTGAAACGTTCACTGGAGATGGGCACCAGTGAACCCCCCCCGAGCCCACTAGGGATTAGGTTGTACAGGAAATGGACGTTTCAGATTTCAATATGCTTTTAAAGCATTAAATGATTCCTATTTACTGTACATCTGATTCAGATTTAAACTGTGAAGCATGAAGAGATCTGGGATGTGTTCACATTATCAACACAAAGCAATTGGTAGACACGCTTTCTGAACTCCTGATGCCTCCAAAAACTGTCAGATCATTTAAAGCTGCTGTTAAGAAAGAAAGTTAATTCAACGTCTTAACTTCTGAGAAGTGCAAACAAAAATCTACCACTGTTTGTCTCCTTTTTTAAATGTTCTGTAAAGTCAAATCCCTTTAATCTTTGGCTGCAGTATTTATGCATTATTTTTTCTAAATTCTTTTTCGTTTGAAAATATTTAATGCCATCATCTCTTTCTTATGCTCTTTCTTCTATTTTTAAGTATCCCAATTAATTGTTAAAATCACTAAATATTTCCTGCTGAGGGAAACTGACTTTACAAATACACATGCGGTGCCCTGTCATAAATAAGACAAGCGCTACATCAAAAGTAAGAAGCATTATATCTTCACTTTAAAATATAAAAAAAAATACTAAAATTATATATTTGTGAATTTAATTCATTATGGCAGACTTAAACAGCAATGCATCTATTTATTTTCCTTATTAGCAATGTCTTGTTAAGCAACCATGTTACAGGAAACACAAATTTTCCTTCAAGATTGCTTTTAAACTCGCACAAAGAGACAAAACCTAATCTATAAGAAGGGAGAGTGATCCCAGCCCAATGCCCGCTGACTGAACTTAGAAATACACTTAACAGTGGGAGCTACTGAATGTTACTGAAGTAGAGCTTTAAAGATTTCCACTGAATTGAATCGGCACCTTGGAGCCTGAGTGTTCAGGCTGCACTTTTCTAGAAACAGCTGGAGACTTGAAGCCGAGCAGTGATTAAAAGAAAAAAAGTAGGCTTGCATTTAAGGTCAATACGTAGAGAAACCCGACATGGTGGGAAGAGTAGAGTACCCAAACGTGAACGCAATGAGTCATTAGAAGTTACTCATCATCAACCCTTCTCCGAACATCATATCTGATTCACAAATCGTGTTTGAAAATAAAATGGCAGACGGAGTTCAGCGTGCAATAGCACTGTTGTGCGGCAGCTGACTGGTGGGAGTCATTAGGCGCAGTGGAGCAAGTACTTCCTTTCATAATGTCCTCAATGATGCCTTCAAATGCATCGCTAAACAAATTCAAGAGGGGCTTCATGTACCCTGAGATGGCCTCTCCAGCCACTAGACCAGAACATCACTGAGCCTTTATGGAGGGTTGTCGAGCGCTGAGAGTAGAGTGGATTTTCCTCCTCTGCCATCGCTCAAAGAAATGAAAGCGTCTCACTGTGACAAATGATACGTGTTTGACTCCAAATAGATTGTTCAAAAGACTGACATCTGCAAGCAACAAAGCACTCTATTCCGTAATTTATTTTCGAAATGCTATAGTTCAAATAGCTGATTTTATTTATAAAAGAACACACCCTTTATTCACAAATAATATTTTTCAGATTAAATTAAACCGAATCTTTTCTACTTTTGGTCAGTTAGCATTACCGAAATGACTTTTATTTGCTAATACAATCCAAAACAATCCAGACATATGGACAGATTGAGAATGTCCATATGTCATAACATTTAGCATGGAGATGGATTCAGCGCTCCAGAGACAAATATGTGTTTTGCTGCCAAATTTACATACCAAACCCCAGACAGCAGCATAAGACCTTGTGAAAATGTTGTATGCAGTTGGTAAGTGTGTCATATTCACAGAGAAATCAGACTAATACTGTTTGAAAAGCCCCTCAGCAAGGAAGAAGGCATTGTTTCAAATGCAACATTACAAGATAGATCCAAGACTGAATATTCACACACACACACAAAAAAACAACTTTGTAAGTCCTTTGGTCTGATACAAAGGTTTGACCCAAGTCACAAAGTGTAAAAGGATAATTTATTAATACCAAGGAAATGTAAACCGATGTATTTGAAGTTTTATTGCGGAAAGGGATAGTTTTTGTTTTTCTATGACCTGAAGCAGGACAACATCAGTGTGATTTAATATTAGTGAAAAGGGGTCGTCTTGCCATATTTTCTTTTTATACAGTATGTAAAAATATAAAGTTTCAATTAAATGTTTCTGTGAGTCAGATTTAAAAGTACAGTTTTCTTACACTTTTTCAAAGATCTCTTTAGGACTCTGTTGAAATTAAACAATAATGATTCATGATGAACAAATCAATAACAGTTTATACGTCCCAAACGCCTTTTTGGTGTTCCCTCAGTGTGATGAAAGCAGGAAGAAATCGGATGACCGAAATGAAACTCGCACAATAAATCACACAATCTCCTATAAAAGAGCCAAACAAATAATAGTGAAATGCACTGGTGGCTCATCAATTTCATTCACAATACCGACCCTAACAAAGAGATCTTCTGAGCAGAAATCTGCACCTCATGCACCAGTCTATGTTACTCCTGCAGCTCGATCAAACACCTTTGTAAATGCCAAGGCTGAAGTGAGAAATTCAGTGAGTCATGTGTGTTATGTTTAGTGTGTCCCTCACTTGGTCCACTCCAATTACCCAGAGTTCCATTATCCCCCCCCCACCCAGACACAAAACCCTCCCCATGGCCACATTATAATTACAAAATCCTCAGTTTTTATTCTGCTGCTAGCTTTATGCCACATTCATGTCCCTTGGAGAGCCAACACAAAGGCCTGTTTACGTCTATGAGGTCCAAAGCTTCATAATTCCTCATTAATTCTTAGAGATTTCAACAAAGAAACAGCAAAAATATATTAAGGTTGTGTCAAAAGCCTGAAAATAAATTAATCTTTTGTTGCTGAAACAAAAAACAAACTAAAATGAGAAAGAAATCAACTACTGAGTACTTATGGCGATGGTTTAAAAAATCCGGTGTTAGGGAATAATAGATTTGGGTTTTTTTTTAACAAAAAAGTAGTAGTATTACAATAACAGCAGCTTTGTTCTGCGTTAACATTTTACAAGGGTAATGCATGGAGTGAGAGGAACTATAGACTATCTTTCCAAACTGATCTTTCTCTGAATCATTCAGAGTCCCTGTGTTTTCTACTCATCAGCTCATCCCAATAGTTTTCAACAGGATATATGACTGTCATGAAGGAAGGGAGAACCATGTCTGTGATGGTTTTTGGATTTGCTTTAGGTTATAAGCCGAAAAAAATAAGGAATAAAAAAAGATAATTATCCCGATTACATTTTATAATTTCAATAAAACAGGATTTAAAAAAAATATTTTCCCAAAATATTAAAAGCTAATTTGAGCATTTATTTGAAGGAAATTATCAATTGTCAATGTAAAACATAACTTTCAGATCTCAAATAACACACAATCGTCTTTATTTTAACACTACAGGAGGGTAATATTTTACTAATGTTTATTGTTTTTCACTGTTTTGGATTCAGGGGATCACTTATTTCAAAAGTCAACAACCTTTAGAATCCAAAGAGCCATTTTTAGTCTTTCCTCCTTTTTTTGAGAAAAAGATTAAATCGGTTTTTAGAAATATAATCTAAAAGCTTTTTGTCTCGATTTTCAAACTAAAGAACAATTTTACTTTCAAGTGAAGGAGTAAGGTTTGACCAAAAATACATGCAGATTGGCATAAAAAATTACAAAAATGTCTTTTTCTTAATTATTCCTAGCAAGATTAGTTTTACTGTTGTGTAAATTGCATAAAAGTTGATATAAAAATGCTGCTAGAAACTTGTATTTTGTATCCATTGTTTTTATTCAATCACATTGCTATGATCTTTTTTTTTTCAGCTGTTCAGCTGTCAAGAGTCAATGTGGAGGTTTTAAAGAGCCACTAGGGGCTCTGAAGCTGGATACTTGAGCAATTTTAATTCAGTCAATGGTCCAGCTCTCCACAACTGTCACAGCTGCTTAAGTAGCTCATCGCTATCAAAGAGACCTGTTGACCCCAAAATAACCATTTTCTCTGCAGTTCTCCAACAATCAACGTCGGTAGTTTGTTTTTTAATTTTCATTCCATCCTGCTTACTGTGCAGGCCAGTTAAATAAATGTCCTCATTCAGCCATTAGCTAAATACACATATATCCACAAGGATGGTTTTTCTACAATGTTCACCAGAGATTAAGCTATTGCATTAAAAATACATTCATTTTCAGACCTTTTACACATCTTGAAGGCAATGTCTCCTAATGTGGCATGCACATTTTATTCTTAACGTAGTGTTTCTAAGTTATACACTTTCAGAGAGATTTTATGCAAGCTGTTCTCCATGATTGAGCTCAGTCGGCTTGATGTATTTTCCCACATTAGCTTTAGCATAGCTCAAAAAAAGATAAAGCCTGGCTTCATCTTTGCTGTACTTGTACCTTGATGTCATTATTGAAAGATTATGTATGATGAATGTTAAATAACACAATCGGAGGAAGTGTAGGGTAACGGTATGGCTTTTTTGTGCAATCTCTGGCTCTGAGATAAGTGTGAAGACACATTATTACTTGTCTACATTACCTAATACTGTCTGACATTTCTAAGACAATCAACAAGACTGTGTGAGTGCTGCGTTAACAACATGCCCAACATCCCCCTGTTTTACACAGGGGACAGGGCTCTAAAAGCTGTTATTGTTTCTTACTCACATTGTGCTTGGTGAGACTGGAGATGTTGCTTGCTATTGCCTGAAGCCAGTCCAAGCAGTCTTCAGCAGTGGGAAACTGTACGACTCCGCTGCAAACTCCGTCCACAGCTATGACTTGGAAAGCATTTTTCCTGAAAGTGTCAAAGGAATAAAAAATTACAGCAGGAGTTTTCTTTCAGTATATGTTAACATAATAGTGCATTTTAATGTGTTTTAGATAGCTATCAGAACCTATTTTACAAGTGTAAATTATTATTCATCGTTTTCATTTAGTACTCTTATTCTTATTCTTGTTATTTTTGTTGTTGTTTTTTTTTGAGAGCAACACAAATATTTGTAAAATAAATAAGACTGGGGGGTGCCGTGGTGACGCAGGGGGTTAGCACGCCCCACGTTTGGAGGCCTCTGTCCTCGATGTGGACATCGCGGGTTCAACTTCCGGTCCCGGCAGTTGCCGCATGTTTTCCCCCCTCTCCTTGCCCTCTTTCCTGTCTGCCAACTGTCAAAAATACGAGCCACTAGCGCCGCAAAAACTCTTCGGAGAAAAAAAAAGATGATAAAAAACCCCCCAAAAAAAACATGATAAAAACATGGTTCTTAAAATTCTTTACAGTTGAAATCTGAAGAAAAAAAAATCTATGCTGTTAGTATGTATTCCAGTCATTTACTCTCATACCTCTAAATTCAGTACTACCAAACTGCTTTCAGAACTCAATTGAGAAATCAAAATCAAAGATAGATTCAAATCAAAGGCAGATTCAATCGCTCAGACATTTGTCAAACTGAGAATCAGTGGCAAGACTTTGAAATGACAGTTTGTGGACACTTTCCATTCAATCTGACAGTTAACTATTTTTAAAGATGAATGGAAAAACATTTTAGCCTCAAGATGTGCAAAGCTGGTTGACATATATTCCAAAGAACCAGCTGAGGGACTGAATACAAGTAGATCCCACACTCTGATTTTTACATTTGAAAACTTTTTCTCACTTTATTAAAATGAATAACATTGTGTTGATTTATTACATAAAATGCCCCCCCAAAGATGCATAAAAGTCCATTATTGTAAAATGACAAAACGTTAACAGTCTAACAGATATAATGACTTTTACAAACCAAGATAACAACACAGATACCACAAAAGTAATTGACAAAGGTACGTTAGGTTCATGTCGATGTTTATAATTACACATAAGCCTAATTACCTCATTGTATAAAACAACACAATAAAAATCTATGATGCTGTTTGAAAACTGCTTCTTTATTGTACAAGACCTTCAGTAACAGGTAGAAAAGTTTGCATTTTTAAAATATAATTCCTCACATGAGACCATTAGCCTGTATTCACTTCTTGACACTGGGGGCAGGAAAGTTTTGCTTGCCAAGGCAGAAAACTGTCTTACAGCAGATCTAACCCATAAATTAACATTCTAAATTTAAGTTTAGAGTCAGCAAAGGAACAATAACTTCAGACTGAACCAACTGTGAGGTTTTAAATGAGATTTATATTTCTAAATGTTGTATTTGCTCCATCTTTAAAAAAAAACAACAACCGAAAGTCTTAATATCTTAAAGAAAAACAACACAATAAAAAAGAGAACACATTTAAAATCTGTGATGCATGTTTATCATCACTCAGCCACAACACAAACTGAAAGCCTTGTCTGTAATATGGCCCATAAATCCTAAAAACTTGTGCAATATCCCCAGCCAGCTGTCAGTTAATGGGCTAAAGCCGGCCAAACCACAAGTGAGATCCATTAACGTCTAATCCGCAAGATTACTGCATCTATCACTTACAGGGTAATAAAATGGAAATACATTTATTGACAGCTTAATGGTTTAATACGTCAAGCATAAAAAAATCATGAGATCAATTCTGATGCATATGCAAAGAACCCACATGCAAATAAAACTTTGGGAACAATTTTTTATGTTTTGATCCTAGTTGACATGTAACAGAGAAATAAAGTTATAAAATATTATTGAATAATGTCAGCAATTTTTACTCTCGTCATACTGTTTTCACAAGAATCAAAATAATAAAAATGAGAAGGCAGGTTAGTGTATTTCTTAACGGTTGTAATATTAAGAAACAAGCCAAAATTTTCACAATTTTATTGTTTCAATAGTTAGATAGGCGTTTTGGGACATTTAATGTGATAGAACAATATAAAGCAGTAAAAATTGTGGAAGGAAAGTGGAATGAAAAAAACCCACAATTTTGAGAATTTTACAAAATAAAAATCTGAAAAATGTGGATTCACTCCCACTTCTCCTTCTTTGTAGGACCACCTTTTAATACAGCTGCATGGATTTTGCAGAGTGTCTCTACCAGCCTTGCAGATCTAGATACTAAATATTTACCACATTCTTCCTTGCAAAATAGCTCAAGTCAGTTTGGAGTTTTGCATAAAATTATTTTAATGAATGCTTTCTCATTTGTAGAAAAGGATACATCTCCAGCTAAAAAAAATACTGCATAACAGCAACTTGTGAAAGACTCAGCCCTTTCTGCTTGACTTGTGAAGAGCTGATCTGTTAACTATGTTTTCAAATAACTAATTGGATAGGAAAGGGTGATAATGAGAGGATTTGAACAAGGTGAAGTTAAAATAATGCTACTTGAGGAGTTCTGTGTACAGCATATTTACAGACAAAGTAGGTTTGTCATCTGAAAAAAAATACATATACTTTGTAAAGATTTGGCTTAATTACTGCTCTCAGTTTGTTCTTTCAGCAAATGGCCTGTTTCAGAACCTGTGCACTCTAATTAACAATATTCAATTATTAAATTAGATGGTGATTATTCCTCTAATTCATTAATTATGGTTAATCTGATTAATTATTGCAGTTCTAAACCTTTTCATTGTAGCTTTCTCTGAAGGTTTAGAATTGTTGTCCTTCAGGAATTCCTCATTCTAAACACTTTTTCAGCCTCTAGCCGGTTCTCTTCCAGCATTGTCCAGTATTTAGCTCCATCTTCCCATCAATTCTGTTCAACTGTTCAAATTGCCATCATATTTCACAGGCAGAATAATGCAAAAATCATAGGGTGATGTGAAGTGTTTGTTTTCTGCCAAACATGTTTTTATATGGACAAAAAAAAGTTCCATTGCTGTATGATTGACAAGCACCTTTACATGGGTCAGGTGTCCCCAATATGACTAATGTAGGAGAACCTCTTATGGATTTCAACAAATGACTTCTTGTTGCCACCCATAAAAGGAACTGCACGACTAATAATTGCCCTTTTAACAGATTCTCATACCTGAGCTGTAGATCTCTGCAGCTGATTGTGCTCCTTCACAGTTCCCATGAGCATTTTGTCATGATTAATACTTTCCTCTAGCCAGCCTATTAGTACAGATACGCCAATGGCTTTGTATTTCAGTAGTGCCATGCTTTTTCCATGTTTCCTATGATAAATTGGAGAGTGCTGTTTCAGACATTTAAAGTTTGGGACATTGTTTTTGGTCCTGACTTCTCCAAAACTTTATCCCTGACCTGGCTGCTTTTTTCTTCGCCTTCCTAATGGTGCTCCATTTTTAATGTTCCCCAACACTCTTCTGAGGCATTCCCAAAAAACAGCAAATTTTTTATCTCTACTGAGATAAAACTTGTCGACTAGCAGACTCGTTTCCCTTTTTCCCTTTCTACAGAAAGCAATTGATTTCCAGATTTTGAAATTGTAAAAAACAAAGAGTCTTCACCATTTCTTCTAATTTTTGTACTTGTGTGGAAATTGGTGGTTGTGATGTGGTCAAATAAGAAAAAGGTAAAGTTGAAAAAAGTTAAAGTGGTAAAAATAATTTTGCAAGTCACTGTATATAATTTGTTAGAACAATAAGCTTTTTAATATATAATCTGATTATGAGCATTATTAAAGTGTTACATCGCTACTATAAATGTTACAAACCGGTAATAACATTATATGATGTGTAACATTTCCAATTGTTCTAAAATATTATTGTAGGACTGCCCTATTTTATTAAAATAGGTTATTGAGCAAGAGAAGAATGCAAAGGTCTTTTATTGCACTTTAGATTTGATCTATGAGGGACCCAAACAGCTCATAAATAGAAGGAGCTTTATTAGTGGATTATATTAGTGGCTTAGTAAATAAAAGCTAGTTTATTGTTTTATTTACTCTGTTTTGTGGGTATAGATCAGTTGGAAGCAAAGTAAGTATGTAAAAAGGATGTTGTGCTAGATTTATGAACTACTTACCACACAAAAAGTTCATTTTTATCAAAAAGAGCAAGGTCTGACCAAAGGAGCCACGTTGAGAAATCATAAAATACGGCCTATTTATAGATGGACCTCAGCAGAGTGCTCCGTTTTAAAATCCCCAAGAAAGAGATCTCAGCACAACTACTGTATTGAGCCTTGAAAAATAATTAATAAAAAACAGCCCGGTGCTTCAAGATTCTGACTCACAGCTCACCTGCAAACGTCAGAGCCGGGGATATACTGCGACAAGCGTGAGTGTAACAGAGGAATAAGGCGCAGGTCCACCCATCTCTTCTCCCACCGAAGCCCCGGGGAAGTGGGCCAGGACGAGCAGGACAACGTGTCCTGTAACAGTGTGAAGGATAAGTTAGAAGAGGATTTTATTTTGTGTGTGTAAAGTCTTTCACATATCAAGTGGTGCCACTGCTGCAGCAGCTACTGGTGTTGCAGATGTACAAACAGGCTGCAGATTAGAGCTGATCCACCCCTTTTCAAGCGGTAAAGACGGAGCGTCGTGGTTATCAATGAGCAGTGACTGTTGCATGGAAACAACTCGCTGGTAGTGACAGTGAGACGTTTGTTGCACGACTACAGAACAGTTATGGAATCATTCAGTCACACAGTCTGAAGAACAGTACCGTGTTGTTGGGGTGGTAGTTTAAGTGCAGGCCGCTGTCACACAAAGGAGATGATGTCCCACTACTCTGGTCACTGGGAATGCCTAGAAATGAAGCAAGTACATAAAGGCTAAAAAAGAACGTATATATTATACATTATTTTCTCAATCTGTCACATCAACACGCGCTTGTTACTTTGTTCTGCTCCATTGCTGGGTCCTGCTTTGTGCCAATTTGTATTCAGTTGACTGACTGACGGCCAGTCAACCTGGCCTACATATGCCTATAAAAGGATTTTACAAAAGCTTTCATGTCTGATGATGAGCTGAAGTTCTCTCATGTGACACAATCAATTGCACCACAATGAGCAATGAGTCAATTCTTTCAGCTTGGTCTTTAGTGCCTTTTGTGGAGCTCAACATGAGTCTCCTTTCCTGTTTTTCTCTTCTTAAAAAAAGTAGCATCTTTTTTGGTCTCAAACAACCAAGTGTTTAGAAAGACATGGTTAAATTTCATATGCTGTATAAAAAGACACAAGCTTGTTTTTCTCTTGCTGTCTGATATAAAATCTTTTTTTTTTTTTCTGGGTTAGGTCAGAAAATCCCAGAATTTTCCGTTTTCTTCATTACTGAAGTGGACAGTGTGACTAGAAAGGTCCTATATAAATTCAGTCCATTTACAAAACTCATCCAATAATATCGGTTCTGTCAAAAGGAGACAAATATCCAAAACTATATACAAGCTTATGCAAGGATAGACTAAATCTTTGAGCAAAACCTTAAATTAAAAGACACTTAGGCCATAAATACAATGTATGTGAACATCTGACTCTAAAGAAAGTCTAAAAATATATCTAAAACCCATATTATTCTGACATTTAGCAAATCCAAGTAATCTTAGTAATCCTAACCATTTTAAAACATTAATACTTTAGTTTGATATAGTGAAGCCAGAGAGAAAAAGTGAATGTGTTGTCCATTCACTGTATATAAACATCACTTTTATTTTTCTCAAAGAGGCTTGAGTTTATTGTTTCCAGGACAACCACCTCTAGACAGAAAATAAGACCAGCTAAAAATAATCCTGGTTAATTACTTTCCAGTGCTTCAGCGTTTGGTGGAGGGTTCTTACATGTGCAGTCCTCACACAGCGGCAGTTTCAAAAAGGCTGGAGTCTTCTTCAGGAACGACACCGTTAGGGTCACCTCTTCACCTGCGTTTCTCAAAACCTGCACCTACAAATTACACAGAACAAAGTTTTTTCTTCACTGGGAGGTTGCTGAGGGTGAGACATAGCATGGCAGTGTCTAGCTAAGAATGGAAATCCAAGATAAGGGATTTAAAGAAGCTGCATATGAGTTGCTTATAAGAAGGGATGAAAGAGGGAAAAAGTGGCTTTACATGTCAAAAAGATGCACATCATCAAAATAAGTCATGATAAGCTGTTGAAAGAGTTGTTTCTGTGTAAGAGACTATGAAATATGAGCTGACAGCTTACCACTTCCTCGTGGCGATAGCTTCTGACATTTATTCCATTTATCTAGAAAACAACAGTAACATCAGTCCTCTGAATAACATTTTACCACCAAAGTACTAAAGCTTTCTTCAAAATGATTAATGAGAGAAGCATATTATAGTGCCTTTCAAAAGTATTCAAACTTTTACACAATCTAGCTGCAAGTTTCTGGTTGGAAGTCTAATAAAATGTTTTACTATGACTGTAAGTAAAGCACAAAGTTGCATAATTGTGAGATGAATGGTAAATAAAGCACGGTTTTCAATTGTTTATGGATAAAGCTCTGAATGAGGCCCACTCCCTTAGACCACTTCACCATCAAATATGAAGCCAGTTAGATGTGGGTATGACATCTCACTGATTCATTTCAATATGGTTTGATCTGAGCCATTCGGTTGCAGCTGTTGCTTTAAATTTAGTTGTCATACTCAAAAAGGTAAAACTTCAAATCAGTCCCTGGTCTTTTGCAGCCCCTAACATGTTTTCTTTCATGAATATCTTATATTTGTTTTTATCCAACATCCCATCAAGTCTGACTATCTTAGCTGTCAATGTAAAAAAACAAAAAATAAAAATAAACATCGCCTCACCATGTTACTACCATTACCCTGTTTATCAACCTAGCAAATCTAAGGACTGGAATTATTGCCCGTTCTCAACATTAATGGTACCAGACTTGTCTGGTGTGTTCACCAACAAGTGTGATTATATTGCAACATAATCTCAACAGTGGGATTATATTACACCTAGATGGACTCTGATTACTAATTAGGTCCCTGAAGGCAGTTGGTTGCTCTGGCTTTTACTTGGTGGTCTTAAAATAAAAGGAGTTAATGCCACACTTTTCAGATTTTTATCTGTGAAATAAAATATCCTTTTCTTCTACTTTACATGTACATAGTACTTAGTTGCTCTCACATAAAATTTAATAAAATTTTAGTTGTAAGATGGCAAAAAAACAAACAAACAGCAATATAATTGTTCTACACTGAAAAGTGTAAATATGAGCATCATAATTACATGTCTCCTACAGTTACCATGTGGGACACCATGTGCTATTTCTTTTTAATTAATTCCTTTGGCTGAAATATATGTGATAAATGAGACTTTTGCCCGTGTGGAAGAGTAATTATTTCACATAGTTTCCAGGACATGTGGCACATGAATTATTAAATATTCCGGGTGTGTTATTTTGCACAATGAGAGAAGAAAACATTAATGTGACATTTTTACCTGAAGGATGCCGTCTCCGATGAAAAGCAGCCCAGAGAGTTCAGCTGGAAACAAACAGAGCAACAACAAACACTTTATAGCAAGCACAAATTAGAGGGCTGAAACATCGGGATATGAAAAACATCAACAAAATGGATCTCATACCTTTTTGTTCTTTTGATATTTTTGATATCACAACAGGGATTTTGTGCTCTGCTCCACCCTGTGAAGGCAATGCAAAATGAGCTGGAACATAGAGGCATTGAGTGTCTGATGCTGCTGTTGGTGCAGTTCGACAAGGAAATGATCAATAACACTTGTCCACACTCAACTTAAATAAGTCAGGTTGGGCAGCCTTATCAGCTGAGATCTAAATTACCTTGATGCTGAGACCAAACCCTCCAATCGTTTGCCGTCTGATTGTTACAGTCCTCTCCTGCAGTTAGGGGGAAAAGACGAAATTAGGCTGCTGTCAGACCTGTCAGGAATTGCTCTTAAATTCAAATGTAGTAATAATGAAAGGGCGTGAATCAAGATGAAAAATGAATTTAAAAAGGACTCCATTTACTTTTAATGTGCACTAAAACTGATAGCGTGGAGTCACATTGTGACTGTTATTTTCTCCTAGGTCCACATGAATAACTATGTCATCAATCTAATTAAAGCAAACAAATTAGCAAAGCTTTCTTTGACATGGGGAGATCATGATCTGATGTTCAATAATAGACAGCAGTGGAACAAATGTCACGGTTAGCCGGATGAATGAGAATGTGGCTGTATTTTTGTCATTGCATTAACCAAGATCAAGATTCATCTTTAAAAATGATTTACAGAGGATTTGCCTGTGAGTCTGTTTTCCTTTCAGCAATTTTCATCAAACAAGAGAATATCCAAAATCTTTGAAATATGACATCCAGCATATTTTGTTTGAAATTCTGACTATTAATGTTAATAGGATTCAAAATGTTTTTTGTTTTGTGTTCCATTTATGATGGTGAACTCCTAATTAAGAGAGTTTATTAAGAATTCGACACTAGGAACAATCCAGCTGCTTGCTTTACTATTCTCATTGTTTTTAGTGATTTAGCTGTGAACTACATTAACATTCAAAAAAATAAGACAAAAGCAACATGAATGCCAATCTCTAACACTTAGATATTAGTATTAGCATAGCATAGTGGCATGAAGTTCTGATCATATATTTGAAAACACACATTAATATCATACTGATTAGAGGATTTATTTAATCTTTATTTAGCTAGTTAAGCAATTTGGTCATGATTCATTGGAATAAAAAATTTAAATAAAACTGCAAGACATTTAAAAAGCAAGAATTTTGTGCACAGGTTTGAAACTGTTTTTTTTTTTTTTCTTAACACAGGCTAAAGATTATAAACAATTTTATACAATCGTTGGCTTCTCTGATGGACACACAGTGGAAACTGCAAATAACGTTAAGAGCTAATCACACTAGAGGGCTCAAAGCATTAAGGCACCTATATGTGCTGAAAATGGCTTGCTGAAGCTCAGAATGGAGAGCAGAGGGGGTTTAACTGTATTTTAATAAGTCATGGTTGTTGATGCCAGATGGGCTGGCCTGAGCATTTCTGAAACTACTGATCCGCTGAGATTTTCCACCATCTCCTGGGTTCACAGAGAATAGTCTATGAAAGAGAAAATATCCAGTGAGCGACAGTTGATGCCTTATTAATGTCAGAGGTCAGAGCAGAGTGGGCAGACTGGTTCGACATGATAGTAAGGCAACGGTAGCTCAAATAACTCGTTAGAACAAAAGTATGAGGAATGCTATCTGTGGACACACAGGAGAAGAAATGTTGGACCAAATGGGCCACAAGAGTAGAAGATGACAAAATGTGCGAGCTCCGTCATCAATAATTCAGCTAGGTGGTGGTGCTGTAAAGGTGTGACATTTTTCTTAACACAAGTTGGACCTCTTAATAACAACTGACTTTTGTTATTTGTCACAATTTGAGCATCGTTATTGGTCATGAATATTCTTTGTGATCACAGCATTACAGGCTTCACATTGATACTTCTAGCAGGATTATCAACAATCCCAAACATGACAAACTGTTTTTTAAAACATGGAACTTGATTTACTGTTCTCTAACGGCCTCCATCGTCGCCAGCTTTCAGTCCAACAGAGGACTTCTGGGAAGAGGTGGGACGAGAAATTTACATCGTGGATGTGCAGCCAACAAATCTGCAGCTACTGAGTGGTGTTATCAAGTTAATATTGATCAAAGTCTCTAAGGATTTGAATTGTTGAATCTGTGTCATCAAGAATTAAGTACTTCCTAAAGGCAAACTGGGGATCAGGGCACACCTAATTAAGTGACCAGTTAGTGTAGTCTAACATACCGATACATCCCCTCTAATAGAATAGACTAATAGAAAGATGTTAGCTTCTGGTGGATCCCTCGCTGGATATTTAACCGCTGTTCTTGGCAGAAATTGTAGAGTTCATTCCACAAAAAACTATATTCATTTTAAAATCAACTTTATTTGCAACCATTGCACTATTACGGTAGAACAAATTCCAGCCAGCTAGCTTCTTTAAGGTAAGATATGTTTGTTCATAGTCCTTCAGATCAATCATTCCACCCACATTGTGCAGTACCAGAACAACTGGCACCAAAACAGACACTAAGAATTATGCTGCCAATGTCCCGATTCACAGTTGGAAGTGTTTTGTTTTTGTTTGTTTTTTTAAGGATTTTAAGGCTCACCTTGACACCTCCAAACATTTTTGTTTTCTTTGTGAACAAGTAACAAAATGTTTGTGCAGAGGGTTTTTGCTTCATCCATTGTGATATCTGCTGATTTCAGCAAATATCACAATGGAATAAGTGTTTGTATTGAAGCAAAATTTGCATTCTTGGTAGCTGTACTCTCAGAAACCGTTAAATCTGAATCTGCTTTGACATAGGCATTGAAATAGGTGTTTCAGCACTTTCCAGACGGAGTCTTATTGGATTCTGAATTGGAAATTCACTTTGCTGTCATGTGTAATTGTAATTGATGGTTGGTTAAGATTATGATCTCAAATGGTTGTCAAAAGTGGTTTTGGAAGGCTTCTTGAATGATGTTCTTAAATCCTGAACATTTTTTAAAAAACTGGAAACTAACCAACTAAATAAAACTCCTAACTCTATTTATACATGATAAAACATGATAAAATATGCAGCCAGAATTATGCCCAGAGCTTGTTGATGGCTACAAAATTGAGATTAACAGGCAACTTGAAAAGTAACAATTACTCAAATAATATGTGTTTGTATTTATTTGAGGATGTAGTAACTGTGTGTGTATTATAGAAACTCCTCCAGAAATTCAAATGTCTGTATGCAGTTTAAATATCAAGAAGTTGTGTACTGTGTCCTTATTCTATTGTGGGAGAAATGGCTTTTGATGCCTGCATAAACATTTTTTTTTTTTGTAATTTTGGCTTTACCATACATTTGCAGGAATATAATCATTTCTAAAATATAAAGATTGCAAACAGAAACAGGCTATGAAGTCTTGTGTAAAGTGAATTCACATCAATTTTTAGAGGCTAAAATCTTCCTTGATGCGTTTTTGAACCAATTGGTGCAACTAAGTGTAACACTGTTTGAGCATGTCCCTCCTCACCCTTATCAAACCAGTGCCAGATGGCGACCCAAGCACGACAGGGTGGGAATGTGTTGGAACAGGAGGAAGGCAGACACATTCTGCCAGAACAAATGAAACATAAGGCCCCTCAGTCCACTCATCTGTCTCCGATGCAGTAAAGTTTTATCAGGGGAAAGTTTAACATGTCTGCAAGGTTAAAAACATCCTCACTTGACATGCTAAAGATGTGTTTGGACTTCTATGTCTTTGACCTTTTCGTAGATTAGTAACAATGTTTTGGAGGACGTAAACCTCCATTTGTCTGTGGCGACTTTTATCCGGGAAAATGTTATTACACGAATGCCATTTTGGTAAAGGCCATAGTCTCCAGCCTTGTTTCTCATGAGAGAGTGCATTTATAGATGCAAAGGAAAGGCCGTCGGAAGTGATGACAAGTGAGAGCTAAATGCTATATTCAACACAAGATCAGCAGATGAATCACTATTTAATGAACATATTTCATTTATAGGGCATGATTCTACTGATGTAGATGTGTTGTGAATGCAGGCAGTGCCATGACTTTGACTGGGTTACTTACGCTTGAATAAAAAGGTTCTCCTGAAATGCAGATGACATCTTGTTCTTGAAGGATAAGAATATCTTTGGCCAAGTGTAGTCGAATATTAAATGGCTCCTCATTACCTTCTTGCATCAAATAAATCCCAGTCTTTGTCTGCAAACAGTCAGAGAGATAAAATCATTCATCATCCCCCCCCATGACAAAATTAACTGGCCATGAAATGAAATGTCATTGAGAACCCTCGTTGCAGGATGAACATGGAAATTAGTTCTGGCTGATGTCTGTTATTTTCCATTTTTTCCCAATGCTTTAATTGTTAATACTAATATCAAAACAAATAGGGAACCATTTCTATTAGAAGTATCCATAAAAATGGATTTGTAACTTCAAATATTGAACTGTATTTTGTGAGTCCTGAAAATGATTTGCTTTCTGTGTGCTTTGTATTATTTCACAGACAAAGGTGCTCTCAGATTGTATCATCTCATTTAGCCTGAGAGAAAGGCTGCGGTCAAATCAGGAAGCTGTGACATGGAAAGACCAAAAGAAAAAAAAAATTTAAACTAAACGCTACGTTTGTTTCTACTTCATAACAAGCAAAAGTGAGGACTGTGCGTGTATTTCCAACAGTCCTTTAAAAACACACTAATCTGCATAAATTTGCATTCTGCATCTCCTTTCCTCCTTCAAGGCTAATTGTGATGCCGGTCCCGTCCTTGACTTAAAAAAGGTCTGAATAAGAGAAGCACCTTCACCTGATGAGACTGCTAATAGAAGAAAGCCACCAGTGTCAGCATCCTTGTCACCCAGCATATGACGCATATGAGCAGATAAGACGCTGAGCTTCGTTGCTGCTGGAAGTTTAAACTCAGGTGATAGTCAGTTTATATATTTAGGGTTCGATGAGAAGCGCAGGAAACTGAGCTCGTCCACTCCCACCTGCACCCGTGGCGTTGGAAATTGAATGACTGAGGCATTAATTCACATTATTTGAAGTAATATGTGTCTGCACAAGCATCATTAGTGAAGCGAAATGAGGGCAGTAGTGTCTGTGTATTATTGAGGTCAGGCAGCATCTCACTTGACTAAGTGTCGTCTGACCTGCTGTGCCTCTTATACTGCAAATAATTAGCTTTATCTTCCATCCTATTTTAAGGTGCACCATCACTCCCCTCCTAACAGTCCAATCTGCATCATCATCTTTGCTCTGAGATGGAGTGTATTAAATTTTACTGACAACATAAGATAATGAAGCAAGGACATCTTGTTCTAGACAGGGAGCATAATATTAAGAACTAACAGGGAGGAAAATATGAAAGGTGCAATTAACAGCTGATTTCTTTTTGCTATTTTTAACTTTGTTATGTAAATAAAATACCTTGCAAAAGTTGTACCCTTCAAACTTTTTCAAATTGTTACAACACAACCAAAAACCTCTGTATTTTATTTTATTAGGATTTTATATTGCAGGCCAACACAATGTAGTGCAAAATTATTAGAGGGGATGTTGATAACTCCTGACTTACCTAACCCTGTTTTAAACTTATCTGGCTCTTTATCTTTGACTTGTATTTGGTCTTGCTGATATTGTTTCATCATTAATATTCTCTAAGAAGCATCTGAAATAATAATAATAATAATAATAATAATAATAATAATAATAATAATAATAATAATAATAATAATAAAAACTTGCTCTGAGAGTACACTTAGCAGTAGAGAACTTTATAATTTAATTTGGTGAAATCTGAAGACAATGGGTTCCTAAATGTTTATTTAGGGGAATTCAAGTAAATTGGTCTTTTACTTGAAAAGATGATGAAAAACAAATTATTTCCTTCCACTTCAAATATATACACAAGACATAAAATCCCAAAAAAGGCACATTAAAGTTTGAGGTTGTACAAATGTGAAAATAAAATTGGTGGTTTGAACACTTTGTAGAAACAGGTTGAAGAATAAAACAGTGTCATTCCTATTAAAAATCTAAATTATGTTAGAGACTCTGTTGTAAGATTTTTTTGTTCTTATATTTCTAACTTACTTGTAAGACAAATGCCTAGAGCACTTTAAGTTTCTACGTGAACTTTCATTTCTTCATGTTTTACTTGAGAAGAGGCATATTTTCTTAAAACCTTTTCAAGCGGTGGTGAAAAATATGTCAGACTTTCTCGAGGCATTTTTAAATTTTATTTTGGCTTATTTTTTGCTTATTTTTTTGACTCGTGTCAGACCATCTTCCATGAAATGCTTTCTTGTTACGGCACCTAATTTAAGAGACTCCTAACTTCCACATCACTAGCTAAATCTTAAAAAAAAATTTAATTACACCCTTAAATAGATCATAAAAGATAACTCTGTGCCCAAAAACTTTCTCATGGAGTGATCAACTAAAATATTGGCATAGTTGATGAATAACCATGTATCTGTCAAGATTTGTGTCAGACATTCGCTAGAGTTTTTTTTATTTTTTATTTCTCAAGGGCATGATTTCAAGTACTTTTCATCACATTCTGATATATTTTTCTATTGAGCATTTCTTCATTTGCGCTTCAAACAAAAATGAAAGCTAACTGAAGGACAGGTCTGAGCATGAATTTAAAGAAGTTTGATGCATTTTGCAACCATTTTTTAAAACTGAAAGAATATCTGGCTTCTTGATATAAATGTATAATGACATGAGAAATGATTTTAATATTTCTGCAGTGTTTGTTGGCAAAACTCATATGTGCACTTCACACATTTGTGAGTCGATTCTGTAAGTTACAAAAAAGTGACACAAGAAAAGAGGTAATGGTAATTTGTGTCAGGATTTTTGTCAGACCATAGAACAGAGGATGGGTAAACGGCACATAAAAAGAAGGTGGAGCAACTGTGTGTTTCTTCTGGTAATGAACTCTGCATGCAAATTTAATCAATTGTTCAAATTACACCATTTCTAAAGTTCTCTAAGTTCACTGGAGTGTGTTGCGAGATGGGTTACACCTACATGAACAGCTATAAGAAAGTAACATTACATAAAAGTTGGATCGGTTTAGAGATAATGCATTTCAATATCAAAGAGTGGGGAAAAAACAGCAGTAGTTTTACATCAACCCAGAAGTTAGTTAAATGAGGCCCCAAGAGTGAGAATGAGCATGAAGTGTCATGCTGATTCAAAGTACTTTTTTGTTCTATAATGATGTGCGCTTCATGATGAAGGATGTACTACTGGCCTCATTTGAGATTAAGCCCCATGGTTGTAGTTTACTCCACAATTTAACAAGTGGACTGAGGACAGAAGAAAGCTAACTGAGATCAGATTGGTCAGGTAACATTCGCTGGCAGTCCAGGCTGATTATTACCACAATACGGCCAATGTTTTGTCCGTTTGCTAACTTTGTAAGTGAGCCCTCATTTTTGTCATGTTTTATCACAACTTGGTGTTTTGCACAAGAACTTTTTCATATTCTGTTGCATCACAATCCCAGACCTCATTACATTTTATTGAAATTTATGATCAACACAAAACAGCATATAACTGGTTTTAAGAAGTTGTCTTTTTTTAAATAAAAATCCAAAAATATGGTCTTTATTTCTAAGAGAACATTTTGAAAACTGCTTTTTGATGACATGACACCGCCAAGTCTTTTCAGGTATAACAGCTATTTACATCTATAGACTGAGGTGGGGACCCAGACTTCTTTACAAAATACCTGAGCTCGGACAAATGGAGGAAAAGAGTCTCTGGAAGAATAAATGTTTAAGTCTTGGATGGTTTGTTCACAGTGATGTGTTTTCACAGCACATACTGTAGGGTTTCTATGTAACTTGGTATATTATTTTATAAGTTGTCTGTCTGCAGTATTCCTCACCTTTAACAATAAAATTGTTCAAAAACTTTTAAAGACATTCACAAAACAGCTGGAGGTACCAGGACTGTACAAACAGACAAAATATTAGAAGTAATTTCCTTTTCTATGAATTTTACCAGTTTGTGTTGGTCTATCACATAAAATCCTGAATAAATCCCATTGAAGATTGGCTTTGCAGAATGACAAAATACAGAAAAGTTTAGGAGCTCTAAATACTTTTGTAAGACATTGCATAGTTAAGGAATGACTAATGACATCGGGGTAGACTTAACATATACTGAATATATAGCTCCAGACATTTTTATTGCAGTGACAGTGGATGCATTCCCTTACCTAAGCTATGAATACGTCCTGTATATCCTGACTGCTCATCCATAATCCCTGAATGTTTAAAGCCAAGACAAACTGTGGGTCTTTAAAATGTGTACTTTGATATATTATATTGGGATGTGTAGCGTGAAAAGCGGGAGGAAAAGCATTGTTGAACATTGCTCACATCTTATGCAGCCAGTGAAGCTGCAAAGAACTGTCGAGACTTCTTAGTTTTTATATATATATTTATATATATATATATATTCTCACACAGTTACTGATCCAGTATTAAGAATGAGAAGTTTAAAAGCTTTAATTTTTCTCTGTAGTCAGCAGAGGTGGGCTTACACACAGAGAACCTGTCAACACAACATCAGTCATTTCTTCATCAGTGCAAGCATGACTTACCAGAACCTCTGTCAAAATACAGTTATTAACATGACGCAGACAGATCTGACAAGTGTCAGATTAATGTCTCTGTCTATAAGAAAGTCTGTTATGTGGTTTGCTCTGAAAGCAATTCCTGATTTTTTTTTTTTTTTAATAAAACATTTCTACAGCCCCCCGCTGACTGTGAGTCAGATCCTCATCTGTGATATTACTTTATCGGCATGTGGAACTGGAGCACGGAGCTTATCGCAAACGGTCACTTGAGACCCCTGTGGAGGCGCACTCTAATGTGAGATATTGGCTAATGCATATAAAGCTGTCCTTTTGTGATCACATAGGATGTAGAGTCATAATAAGATAGAAGTTCATCCTCTTTAGGGTTAGGGTTTTACGTATGAAGAATAAAAAATACATTTTTAGGCCAATCATTTTCCCAGTCTTCCTTCAGTTAGTTGAGGTTTTTATACTAGAGGAAAGATACACATATAACTAAACCGAACGTCACACTGGCTTTGTAATTAGGGGACGGCTGCGTGTCAAGAAAAGGTCTCATCTGTCCCAAGTCATGCTGTTATACATATTTTTATACATACATTTATATTTTTATAAATGTACTTTTTAGGCACATAGTGCCATTTTATAGCACAATCAAGTAACTGTTACCTTCAGTTGTTATAAATATGCTCTATGTCAAACATAACTAAGAAGAAATTTGACTCTGTAATTTGATGCTTTGAATTTGGCCTCTGTCTCTTTAAGAAGCTCCTGAGTTCTCAGGATTGTTGGACTGAGAAGTACTTTGCATAGTAAGATCAGCAAACTCACAGTTCCACCAGGAACCAGGTGAGTAGCAATTACTAGTGTGAGTAATTGCTACTCACACTAATCTGGAGGAGATGAGGGAATAACATTATAACATGATGGAAAGGTCAAAAAAGTTCATTTTACATAATATCCACAGGTTAATTCACTCCACTTCCATTTCTAGGAAATTGATAAACTATCTTCAGTATTTTCACTTATTTACAATACTTCTCAGTGGCCTCAAGTTGTTTGGAAGTTGCTTTTTAGAACCTCACTATCCATTGCTTGTTATCAGCATCACCTAGATACATTTATTGTAACAAATGTTTTATTTATTGTGTCCAGATATATAAACCCTCTAACTGAAAAAGGATGCACATCTTTTTTTAACCACTACTGCATATTAATAGCAGATATAAAGATGTGGCTTCTGTACATCTATCATCACCATCTTCTAAGAGGCTAAGGTAGCGAATAAGAGGCAAAACCATGAGACAAAAAATGTTCTCCTGCGGTCCTACTCTCTAGCTTTTTAAACATGCTGGGAGGCTTAATGTTGTGTTCTAATGCTTTAAAATGCTTGGCCACTTTCTGTAATTACGGTCAATTGTCAGACTGATTAAATCCTACCAACCTCTTCATTTGAAGTCTTGAAATCCATGTGCTACAATGCAGTGAGAGATTCTGGAATGGAGAAAAAAGAAAAATTAATTTAGGTCTGCAGGGACAAATGCTTAATGATAGGATGGAGTCATGTAGGAAAACCACACGGCTGAGTTTAAATCAGCATTGTTAGCAGGTTGCCTACACCCGTTATGCTCCACTCTTTCTCATCTGGAGCTTAAACAAAAGAGGAAAAGAGACTTTTCTATTTAAATGTTCTTCTAAACTTGACTGAACAAGGAACCCCAATGGTGCAATTTTCTGCAGAAAACTGGAGACCATTAAGCATTAATGAATAATTTATTAGCAAAGGTGAGAGCTAAGGTATCCTAATAAATGTTTCAATATTGAATCCAGCCTCCCAGAAATGAACTGTGTCACCATGTCTGATGGCTTGTCGGAGAGATGAGAAAACCAGCCACAGTGGAATGTTCTGTATTATTTTGAAAATAAAAACCTAAAGATCTTTAATAGTAAACAGTCTATATGTTTACAATTTTACACTCATTATATTTTATTCTAATAATCAAGTCATTTTGACAGCTGTTTTGAAGAAGCTTAATCGACACAACCAGTTTTAATGAAACAGGACAGTCACTGGGATACAGAAAATAAGCGCAGAAAAAAAAAAAAATCAGTTCGCACTCAAGTTAAAGAACCAATGCAGCAGAGAGACTGAGACTTACCTCATCAGAAAGGCCTCCAGCTCTTTGAGTGTTGAGGTCTAGCCATCGAGCGGCGAGCTGATCCCTGATCTAAGCCGTAGCAGGGGGCCTCTCAGGATCATGGTTGTCAGATTTGGGCGGCGGGAGAGCAACACTGTCACTCCTCCTGGCTGGCTGTGTGTATGTGTAAGCAGCGCTATTCCCAGTAGAGCCAATGCTGGAGAGCAGATTGAGGTTATCGTTTGGAGGATGGAATTTCTTCTAAAGGTCCCTGAACTGTGGCTGCGCTGCAGCATCAAGGAGGATGGGGCTAAGAAAACATTCTGCTCTTCCACAGAGGTGAAGTCTGGAGAATAAAATGGATAAATTAGTGGATGTTGTTAATTGCATGCTTTTAACTTTGAATGAAAATATATAATCTACATTTGCAAGCAATACAGATGTGAGAGTTGTTATTGTAAAACTAGTATGTATGTGTGGGATGTAGAATCTGAGGCAGTTCTGGGCTTAAACTCCTAAACAATCAACCGGAAATAGAAATGACACAAACTCAAGATCTGAATGATTCTGATGAAGGATCTGCTCAAACACTTCACACACAAACCTGTAGATTAACATGCAAGAGAGCAAAAAATGTAATCAACTCACATTCTTCTATTTTCTTGGATTTTGCAAATACCAAACAATTTCATTTTTCATGATAGTTATTAAATTCCAAAAGCATACCCTTGAAAAACCTGTCTCATTAGTATCCATTGTTTATTCAATGCCACATTAGTGTTGAGCAGCAGTGCTGCTACTATCATCATTGTCCCATCTAAATCACTAGTGCAAACAAGTGATTTAAAAAGACAAAGTAAATTTTAGTCAAATACATGTTTTAAACATTTTTTACTATAATTTGTACTTACACAACCTCTTGGTAATTAGCTGTGCTATTTTGAGGACACTATTAATTGAAAAAAGTTTAGGTTTTCTTTATTCTCTCTCTGTATTCTTTTCACAGTAGATTTTGTTATTTATATCAAATTTGACCAATGTCTGGTGCAATGACGAATCGAGAACATATAACAACAATGGTCTGAAATATTATGAAACAAATCCATTCAAATAATTAGAAAATTGCTTCCAATTTGTTTGCAAAGTTGTATATATCCTCATCTAGACTTAACTGAGCTTCTAATTTTCCTCTAATGTACAAAGACAAAAATGCACTTTGCTGTGATGTCAACGTATCTCCAATCATGAGCTCTTTCTCAGAGATTCACAGTGAAATGAAAGGATGATTATTGTAAAAACTTTATTTACACAAGTTTAGATATATTTTTATTTCAAATAGCATAAGATAGGATGCCCACAGGCTCTATTCTGCGATCCATACTGACTAGCATGCTTCCCTTTGGCCATGTTTTTTGGGAAATCTTGGATGTATTTTTAATAAAATATCGCAACTCGGTTTCTCTTTAACAACTGCTTGTTTATTTGTTTGTTTTCTTTGGTTCTAGGAATCTTTGCAAAACATTTTCTTTGGATTCAGCTACTCTGAAGCCTTTTGTGAAATTGCATGTCAAGAATTTGAATGTGATATTTGACAGTGATTTTAACTTTGAGAAATAAAATTCCTAAAATGAGGTTGTTATCAAACTGCAATTCTTTTGGTAATGTTAAGTCATGCTTTTATGACTTCCAAACTACAACAATTCATTCAGTTTTGATAACCCAGGTCTTCTTAGCACTGGAATAGCTTGTTCAGATTACTGCAGTGTGTGTTAACACTGAGAAGAAAGAATGTAAATACAAATAGTTAAATAGTTAAGAAGGCACCACTCAAACATGTTAAGAATGGGGGTAGATCTAGATGTAGACATTGGACAGAACAGTTTTCATACAACTTGACAGTACTTAAATAAATTTAGTTTTACTACTTCTGTACAAAAATTTGTTGAAGGTTTTGCAGATATAGCAGACAAATATTTTGTTTAATCATAACAATAATAACAGTTTAAGATAATCTCAGCTTACATCAGTCTATAAGTCAAGAAATCTCTTTTACTCAGCCCTGAGCTTTTCCAGTCCTTCAACCTTACCCAGTATTTCTTAACAAGCTTATGGAAAGAGAAAAGTGTGAGTTTGCATACTAGATACATTTGCAGCAGATGATTATCTACCAGAGTGCATGGGGTTATATTCTGTATAGAGAAGATGAGATATGTCATTCAGTGGCCTTTTGTGCTTGCCTGTAGGACAAAATGCTCATAAATCCCCTAGAGAGAGTGGTATTCCTTTATCTCCATATCTCAAGTATGTTGAGTGCAGTTATTTTTCTCAATAGAAAAAAAAAAACAGACAGATTTCTGCCTAAATAAAATAGCATAAGAGTTTTTATATAAGGATAATTTGCCCACATATCCATAAAGAAACACTGTGAGATTGTGAAGGACAAATCTTCATATTCCACGTTCCAATAATATATGTGAGCAATCCAATGGAGTCTCACTGCAAAAGATGCACACACCTAATTGAGATGACAGTGGTGAAGATGCTAATACACAGAGAGTGTCGGGAGCATTGTGACAACAGAAGAGAAAGAGAGGACATTTTGCACTTTAAGCCAAGATTTTTTACAATGAAAAAATCCCCATTTCATTGGGTCAAGTTTTATCTATTTTGCCAACAATATAGACAAATAATACAATTCATTTAATTTTCCTCTCATGAAAATGCAGAAAAATCTGCAGGTTTTAGTTTTTGAATTAAAATACACACTACTTTACCTTTTTTTGTTGTTGTTGTTGATAAAATAACATTGCATCTTATAGACACCTAAATAACAAAAACATTTAAGATGTTAATCCCTTACATTTGCTCATTGCAAGTGTATTCATACTACTGAAACTACCCCATTTTGTATACAGTCACAAACTTTTAAGTGCAATATGTCTTTGTGGGATTTTATATGGTAGATCAACACAAAATAACACTTATCCGTGAAGTGTGATAATAATGTTGCATGGTTTTCAAATTTTACACAAATAATGCTGTGCATCTATATTCAGTCCAATTTACTCTTATATGCAACTGCAAAGTTCCCAATTACAATGATAACTAGAAATGTGGGAGGGGATGAAAGGAAGCTTGAGCAAAAAGATGGTGTGCTCATATTAGTTTAAAACTTTTTGGGATACATACTGCATGCCAGAAATGTAGAACAAAAAACTGACAGTAAATCTACCATAAAATAAATCTACCACCCTGGAACATGGTGGCAGTGGCATCATGCTGTGGCGATGGATGTATTTCAACAGGATGACAGCCCTAAACATACACAGCCAGAGATACAATGGAGTGGTCTACATCCAAGCTTAAAACAATCCTTTAGAGTGGGCCAGTAAAAGGTCACACCTACATATAATGGCGCAATTGGAAAAAGATAAAATTGAATTTTGTATTTGTAACATCATCAAATATGTAAAAGTTTTAAGACTTTTGTGAAGACGCTGTAAAACAAAATATTTGTTTCATCGATCTGATGCAGTTACAGGATTTTTTTGCTTCCAAGCACACTCTTATAAAACAACTGCGTGATTGACAAGACAGCAGCCCTAGTAAATGTTAAGACATGCTTTAAAATTGGATGTCTACAAATGGTCAACTGAAAGACATGTCTGCAGCTAGAAGCAGAGCACTTTCTTTTAACAGGCCCTCCTGAACAACCTGCAAGACGGCAGCACTTCCCTTTGTCCTCTGAGAATTCAAAGATTAAACTACGGACCTTTTGTGTCATTTCAGCAGAGTCAGTGTTGCTCCTTTTATAATAACAGGTACTTTCTATCCAAGCAGTTTGCTAAGCACTGTGTTTCCAATAATGCTCTTCCTTTTGACAAGAAAAGGAAGCAAGCACACAGAAAGAAACAGAGCAAAATCGCTTGGATGATGTGGCGATTGCAACATGACATCTCCATCTTTGAGAGCTGACGACAGCTGCGGGCCACGGCGGATGACAAATGGCCCTTGAAGCTTCCAGGTGAAGCAGCTGACTTCATTGAACTCCACTAAATTCAGTTTCACTCTTCAAATACTGCGATGGGCTTTTTTCAGTCTCCTGCACACTCGTGTCATTTTACCCAGAACAGAAAGTCCCGGTGACATTTTTTGTTCTAAGAGATGATAGGCATTATGTTTTTTAATACAAAATTACAGCATCAAGAGGTCATGAGCAACAGCAAAAACACGGCAGAAAGAACACTTCCTATTCCTATCCCGACAAAAAATTACATTTCTTCTGCAACCAGTATCTTTGAAGATCAAAATCCCCTCTTAAACAGAGTATTTCTTTCCGAAATGAATCAATTATGATCACAATGTGATCAGTGATCAGTTTTAACTCATAAGATTGCTTTTTAATAGTCAATCTCCAAGCTGCAAAGAAAAGACATCTGCAATTGTATCTTTCCAACTTTTATAAGGTGTTGATCTGCCTCACTTTTTAATGCTAATCATGCAGCAGAAAACTGTATGTTTAGTGGTAGCCAGCAGGTGCAAGATACATATAGATCTAACTTAAATCACAGCAGCCTACATGTGGTTTCTTGGAACAGGGTAGAGCTTAATATAGCCTTTCTGTCAAATGAAATGAATGTTTTTTATAAAAACAGGAATAAGAAACAGGACCTAATTTTACACAAGGCACCAAACAAATATAATCTATCATGTTGACAAAACTACATTTCAGGTATTTTTCTCATGCATTTTTCTCTCTAAAAAAAATCCTCTATTTTAACTAGTGATAGTGGTGATGTTCAACATATCACTAGGAGTAATTTTATCATTTCATATTGTATTCAAGATTTATCAACACATATTTCTCCATTTGGAGAAATATCTCTAATAATCAAAGATGAATCTCAAGGATTAGAAAAAAAAAATAATTTTTTAGTGAAAGATGTTTGGATCCATAAATGAAGTTGATGTTTTAATCCTTTAATTTTATCTTGTGTAAAATATAATATAACTATTATGGCTATAAAGCAAGGCTTCCACAAATAAGTCTGAATGTAATATAGTTGTAAGAAATAAAACTGGGATAAGCAGGTTTGATTTCAATAATATGTAATAATATATTACTAACTCAGACTTTTTATGTTTTAAAAATCCTTAAGCTACTTGTCAAATGTTTCATTGACGTAACTTAGACTTATCAATGTTTCTGTTGCACATTTATCATTGTGTTGTCAAACTGTGGCCACTGACACTGCTACCTTTCTAAAGCCTGACAAGTTATCAACTTTACTCTTACATGTGTGAAATGATCTAGATCTGATGCTTCTATAGAGCAAAAGTTGTTTT